CAAACGAGCGATGCAGTAAATCTGATTTTGTTTTAAAAACGAACATTATAGGGCGGTAGCAAATCAATCACCTATGTGGGTAATAAAAAAAAGGAAGATGCGTTGCCATTAAAGAAATTCGTGATGTTTATAATCATTGCTACTTCTACCCTAGATTTCTATCCAAGGCCTGTGTAAAAAGTGGAAGCATGGCACCAATTTTATGGTTCGGCAGGGTCAAGTGCCAAGGGTGAAGCAAATAAAGCTTTTCTCGCCGTTTTAAGCGTTAATTTTTATAGAGAGTGCCAAATTTAGCAGCGTAATTTGTTAGTCGTAAAACTTACAGACAGTATCGAGGAGACTTTGTACCGATGACCCCGGCAACAATAGGACCTGAAAATTACATAAAAATTAGGAAAACTCTCATTTAATTTTTGTTATCATTGTAGTCTTTATATTCGGCATCGCATGTAGTAAAGTTACTTGACATTTCTGTGGGTGGGAACTGCAGTACAGTAGTATGCAGCTTAACTAATGTGGCGAACGTATACAGTAATACGGATACGGCGTGAAGTACTGTTTTAGCTGTACTATATGCGTAAACGAAAAGAAAACCGCACGCTTGTTCTGTACTGCCTTTATTCACGTGTTTGAAAAAATCTAAAAAAAAACAGAGCAAGAATCCTAAAATGTCTTATTTTATTGTAGCGTTAAAAACATTGTCTAAATACAAAAAAAAGAACTGCCATCAGAGAAAAACTAGTCCAACGTGATAACCTCAGGCACCCTGGCGTCCGTGTGTGAATCATCATCGTCTCCGTTGTAGCCGTCCTCATCGGAATCTCATATGGATTCACCTTTGAACCACCAATACATTACTTTCGTGCAGATTTAAGAATAATAATCAGTCGGCTCACCGCTGAGAAACCAAGAAATGTCGTCGCCACTCTCCTCATCCTCGCTGTCCACATCGTAAGCCGTGATTAAAAAACGTGTAACGTTCGGAAACTTATCAGCCAGCCAGCGGTCGTGTCCGCGAATTTCACACAACTCGTTGCCTTCAACGTCCAATGCCCGCAGCTTTGGTAAGAGTGTCAGTGGCTCTAATTCGTCACGGAGACCGATTTTGTTACCGACAATGGAAAGCTTCTCCAAATTGGGGCAGCTCTGAGGCAGGATGCTCAGGTCATCAATATGGTTGTCTCCCAACATGAGGATGCGCAGACATGGCAAACGCGGTAGCCCTCCAACGACCACAGGTCGCAATCAATCAAGCTTAGCTTTTCTAAGCCTTGAAGTTTCACAAACAGAGGAAGAATTGCTGGAGGCACGCGTTTTCCATCGAAAACCATTTCCGGCGTACTGGCACTAAGCTTTCCAAACAAATTACGGAAAGCGGCTTCCATGACCGAGCGAGAAACTGCAGACATTTCAGATTCAGAAAATATGTGATTATTTTTGTAACAAAATAAAACACAACTGAAGGCTACTTGTTGAATGCTGCACATTTATGTAGCAGCAGTTGTCACTGTACTCGGTTACAATAATTCTTGCAAGTGATCATACTTGTAACCGAGTTCAGTTATCATACTGTTTGTTTGTTTTATAACTGTGGTCACCGTGTACAGTGATCATTACTTATAATCGCCTTCGATTACAACAGTTACGTGTATAAAAGAACGATTGGTGGAGGTACAGGTGTCAGTAGCGTTTAACGGATGTTTCAGCAGTGTGTTTACTCGTATTGGATGGTCTTACCTCTCCTCAGAAAAGGTATGTCAGGATGTCGAGTTACGTAAGGTATTATTCCAGTGGTCACTCTGTACAATTTTTCCAATTCCTTCGGCGATAACGAAAATAGCAAAAACAACAAAAAATACCACGTAGAGAACAATCAGAAGCACCTTCTCGCATTTTCGCTCCAAGTTACGTGCATAGCACAGCATATGCTGTAAATTAGCCATGGTGCCAGCTTTTGTAAATTTATACGATGCTGCATCGCTTAAATAGACTTTTATTGTAGATGAATGTTGAAGATCGCTTGCGAACTTTTGGCAACTGGCCTTTGGCATATATTTCTCCGTTGTCCTTGGCCGAAGCTGGTTATATCTACACGGGAGAAGGTGATGAAGTTAAATGTGTCACGTGCAGTTGTGTGCATTTTGACTGGGCGATGGGAGACAAGCCTATCTTCGAACACCGCTGTGATAATCCGGAGTGCCCATATGCAGCAATGGTAGCGGACGGTGACGTCTATATACCGGCAATGGTAAATTACCGTGATCGGTTCGGCACTTTTGCGGAGTGGCCTGTGTACGCCCAACAACGGCCAAGAGACGTGGCAATGGCAGGTTTCTATTTCATGGAGGTTGCTGATCGAGTGCAGTGTTTCTGCTGTGGTCGAAAACTGGAAAAATGGACCCCGGACGACGACCCATGGATTGAACATGCTATTCATGAGCCTCGATGTGAATTTCTGATTGAAAAACAAGGACTGGAGTTTGTATATTATGTTCAGAGGTTTCACGATATGGACCACAGAAAGTGGGTGACTGGTCCACGAACCGATCGACGGGACTTCTTAACAGCCCATGCAGTAGAACTTGGATGCCATTACACGTATTTGATCAAGGCTCTGCTCCGTAATAAGACCGCGTGGCTCTATTTTGACTTGAAAGACTTGGTGGAGGCGGCAAACCGGATTAAGGACCGCATCACAGTAGCGAGACTGGATGGTAACTCTCAAGTAGATAAGGAATGCAGTGTATGTTTGGATAAAAAGGTTTACATGTGTTTTTTTCCGTGTGGTCATGCCGTTTGTTGTACTGGTTGTTCGGAAAGACTGCGAGAATGTCCTGTTTGTCGCCAACTAGTTTTCGAAAAGGTTAAGCTGTTCTTTGCATAAATGTTTATTAAAGCTGTTCCGATGTTCTGTATACTTTATGACATAAAAAAGAATGTTTAGCGTAATAAATGAGTATCCACGCTTTTGCGTTCCTTTTGGTATGTGTGTTTGCGGGCCAACAATGTCGGGCAAAACACAATTTGTATTCACTCTCCTGAAAAACAATGCTTTAGTTTTTGATCGGCGACCCACACGAATACTGTACTGCTACGGTCAGTGGCAGAAAGGTTTCGATGACTTACAAAAAGAGGTTTCGCAGGTTGAGTTCTTGCACGGTCTGGATGACCTGTTTTCAGAGCTGCACTCTGCCGATAGCGTTGACCATACACTGGTTATTATTGATGATTTGGCCACGGATTTGTGCAAGGATGTTCGATGTTCTGACTTGTTCACCCGCGGCATTCATCACAAGAATGTTTCAGTCATCATGATGCTGCAGAATCTCTATAAACAAGGAAAGTCTATGCGGGACATCACGTTGAATTCACAGTACTTGATACTATTTAAGAACGTCCGCGATGTTAATCAGATCGCACTACTGGCACGACAAACTGGACTGAAACATTTAGTGGATGCGTATAATAAAGTCACAGCGGAACCGTATCAACCTCTTGTATTAGATCTACGACCTACTTGCCCGGACTATTTAAGGATACGTTCTCATGTCCTACCGAATGATCAAATGCGGTGATCATCTTTTTCACATCGGAAAACGAAGACATCAAATGCGCCATGGCTGAACGCGTCATTCGCACCATCAAAACAAGAATGTTTCGCTTGTTTCGTGCGCGAGTTTCGACCCGTTACATTGACAAACTGCAAGATCTGGTGTACTCGTATAACCACTCTAAACATCGAGCACATGGATTGCGACCGATAGATGTCACTCAGAACAATTCTTTGGCGGTATTCAACAAATTGTATCCAACCAGAGAAGTTCGACCACCTCGATTTAAGGTCGGTGATGCCGTCCGGATAGCCGTGCATAAAACCAAGGTCGAAAAAGGCTATACGTATCGATTTAAGGAGGAAGTGTTCTACATCAATAAAGTCATTTCACATATCGTACCGGTATATCGACTAAAGGACTATCAAGACGAACCTATTCAAGGAACTTTTTATGAGCACGGGCTCTCCAAAATATCACGCCCCGAGCAGAAAGAGCATACAATCGACCATATCATTAGACGCCGTGGTGATAGAGTACTAGTTCGGTGGTTAGGTTACGGACCTGAGCACGATTCCTGGATAAAGGCATCATCATGTACGAAGGCGTACCATTCTACGTGACGCTCCCGAGCGATGTGGCGACGGACCCCAGCAACACACCATCCAACTGGACGACCAAACTGAAACATCCCATTACCCTGAAAGGAAAATGGGAAATGGCCTTGGTTGAACTGCAGTACCTCAATTCCTTTTTCACTCTTCCCGTCGAGCAAAAGATTGAAGTGCACATCGTTAAAGAATTCAGACTAAAGAAAGACGAAGCAAACTTTTTGGAGTCTGCGGGCCAAGTTGTCCATACCGACGAGATTACCATCCCTCCGGGAAATTACAAGGATGCCGATTTGCTTCTAAAAACAATCAATTCACTGGTACCCAAAGTTGGATCGTACATGGTGGACGATACAGTACACGCTGACAAGAGCGCTTTAACAGCCGACAGAGCCTTTACCGTGCAACTGCTGACCGCCACCAATCATCGGGTCCGACTGAATATTAGCAACGATCGGGTTTCTGTCGTCTTTCCCCCGTCGTCGATAGTCCTGCAAAAAACGCTGGGATTTGAACACAGTGTGCTAAAACCCGATGTGCCGATGGAAAGTAACAGCAATGCATACATTGGTCCATTTCCTATGGAAACAAAGAATGTCAGTATCCAGTACCTGTCATTTCTGGCTAAGCCTCCTAATCCAAAATTAACCAGCTTTATTTCGGAGCGACCGGTCAATACTCTACTGGGAATCAAAGCTTGTTTGTCTACAGTGATGTGGCCGACTTTACAACATGAACACACAAGAAATTACCTCGGCCCTCCACGGGAATCCCCAGACCACAGCGGTATTTCGTGGGGTCTACGCGAGTGATCAAGTTCCAACCACTCTGGCACCTTTCCCGGGAGCGTGTGTGGTAAATACAGACCCCGCCGACCAGGAAGGTGAGCACTGGATCGCGCTGTACCAGGAACAAGCTGGAAAAATGGAAATGTTTGATTCATACGGGAGAACTTTGGAACGCTACTCTCAGCATTTCGCGTCACTGGCGGCTGTCAATGAAATAACTCTACAAAATGAACAGTTTCAGTCTGAATTCAGTACTGTATGTGGACAGTACTGTTTGTTTTTTATTTTACGACGCTGTGGTGGTGAATCTTACACAAATATTGTGCATTTGTTTACGGATAGCCGACTAAGCAACGATAAAATGGTGTGTCAGTTTATGAATTCTTTTTTCGACATAAATACAAACATGATTGATGGGGCTCTGCTTTGGCAAATATGCAAGCGTTTATTGAAATAAAAATATGAAAACAAATAGTGCCGGTTTATCTTGCTAACCAATTTAACACGTCAACAATTATCCGCTGCAATAGTGCGCCCAACGTTTCCACGAATACGATTCTCATGCAACATTAAATAAGACTCCACATCCATTTCCAGAGCTTGCTCAATTCCCAGCTTTTCTAACCCAAACAAGATACCATGCACAATGCGCAGTTCCTGTAGACGTTCCACAGCTCCGTTCCGTTCCGCATCCGATGGGCGGTAATTTTCGGTGTAATTCTTCGGTCCAGTCCCGTCGTCCATCAGTTTTACCAGTGGAACCAAGGCATCAGCTATGTTTTCATCCAGTTCAGTGTACGCTAAACCTTCCAAAATCGGATCCTCAGTGCCACTTTCCTTCTGAATCTTGGCAATGTCCTTAATCAACTGCAGATCCTTCAGCAGTTCCTTCAGTCCGTCATAACAGCGCTCACCGAACGAAATACCGCAACGGGTCGGGACCATGTCGCCAGCTTTCACATTGAATCGACGAATCGTAGCCACGTTTGCGTTGCTAAAACGACTCCAACCAAAATACATACTTCCATCTAGTAAGTACAATGGTGTCAACCTCCCTGTTTCTGCTGAACTGGCTCGGGCAGTCTTGTCCATGTCGGATTTTCCAGCCAGCATAAGAGCCGCCAAACGGAGAAATCCTTTTTTGGAGAGCACAATGTTTTTCCCCCAAGTCGCTTTCCAGGAGTTATCAGGCTGTTCTTTCCATTCCCCGAAAACAACACGAATCGTACTTTTCTTTGCGTCCGTATTCGTACCAACATAAACGAACTTGTCGTTGCAAAATCGATAAACCGGCTTGCCGTTCTGTGTAAAAGCAAAGCGTGGATGCGTTGGCGTACCTTCGGTTACAGCGCCACCTTTCACTTTCTTTGCTTCCGGTTTGGTATCGTCTTCGGCTCCTGGGCGTTTTCGCTTTGTAAATCCTCTTTGCGGTCGTTTTTGTGCCAACAAGTCAAGAAACTCCATGGTTTATACAATATCTAGATGAAACAAAATTCAACAAAACTAAACTCTGCACGGTCTTAGTGTGAGCGGTACCGTTTATATACAATTCATTCACGACCGCAAATTATGATCACACCGTTTACTTCCACGGTTACAGTAATCCAACTCGATTACAACGATCTAAACGTGCAGTACCCCACAGCTTAGTCCACAATTGTGAGCGTACACGATTACAGTAACTTTTGCTAGGTTACAACGTTATAATCCTGTTCGGTGATAATCACCGTATTCGGTTACAGCACTATAATGGTGTACGATTACAGTAATTCTGGTCGTTTACACAATCGTTACTCTCCACGATTACAATCATCTTGCACGGTTACAACCAGTTCAGTTCGATTCTATATAAATTACAATATTCGAAAGGTCACCCGTTCTGAAATTGTATTTTTTTGCAACATTTTCTCTATATCTGAGGAAAAAATGGCAGTGCCCTGCATTCTTGACGCAGATTGGTTTGTCATCAACGGTAAAAAGTATATTAAACAACTGGCATTTTACTGTCCGGAGAAATTTGAACAAAATTTATATACCTTCACGTTACCGCGTTGTGCCAGCCAATACAAATTCGACCTCACACGACAAGCTCGCCATTCACACGGTCTGTTGTGCCATACCGAAGGAGATTACCGTTGCAACCAAGTGAGTTGCGCCGTTGAAGACATATTTAAAAGAATTGGACGTCCTAGCAGAATACGATTCTTGGCAAAAGGGCAAGAGAAGTGCCGGTTGCTGGAACAATTTTTACCGGAAGTAAAAAACCTGGAAACCTTTGGCTGCCCACCGTTTCATAAGTTGACATCACTACCCGTTTCTACACTCCGTAAAGCCGTACGTTTCGCATTGTGGTACCATTGCGATGCCCATAATCACCAATGTAGTTGCCGTTGCGGATTTAAACACTACCCTGGACCTTCGGAAAATTGAGAAGCTTTTACCAATGGCTCAATATATTTCTGAGACATTCTCGGGTTTGCAGGTGCGCCGCCTATTACCATTCAAAGCACACTGCCAGTTATATCGAAACGGTAAAATAACTGTTAATGGAGCGCGGACCGAAACGGAAGCCCAAGAATTGGTAACTTACTTTGCAAATCTTCTTTCGGATATAGGAATTTCTTATACCGTAACCGATTACCGAATTGTGAATGTCATTGGGAACCATGCTTTCTCACAGCGTGTGCACATTGAAAAATTTAGTGCTTTTTTCAGTTTAGAATATACGCCTGAATTGTTTAGTGGTTTAGCGATTAAATTAAGCACTGGTCGAGCGGTGTTATTTTCCTCTGGTAAATGCAATTTTCTCGGTTTAAAAACAACGGAGCAGTTGTGCGCAGCCGTTCAACAGATTCGGATAATGCTTGATGAATTTAATAAATCACTGGTTTAAACCAACTTGTAACCAAATGGTACTGTATTAAACTGTTCATCAATAACACGACGTTTATCATAAGTTACTTGAAATCGTTTCACTGCACTTGCGTTACGAATGCTCAAACTGGATTTGACCCTTTGAAGAATATCAGGATACTGTACATCGACTACGTTACGGTTTTCCAGCATGTCCAGCATCGTTGTATAGTTGATCTGCTCGCTAGTGCGTCCGTTTATGGTGAAACCTTTAACTTTGACAACGCTGGCCCTATCATTTGTAACGTAGGCATAGGTTTTGGCTCCCAGACTGACAAACTGTGTTATGTATATTCCTGGCTTCAATTCGTTTGTTAAATCACCGAGAAAAATTCCGGTAGGAGGATCAACAGCTCCCGGACGAGTTACAAAAAATATTGAGTCTGCAAAAAAAACAACCGTTAAAAAAAGCAAACTAGCATGAAAAACCTTTGTAACCAACCGGTATCAAAATACAGCAGTCGACCTTCAACCATCTCCATAAACTTTAGCAAATGCAGTCGCGCCCAGCAGGTAGTTAACCTGAAATATTTATCTGAGTCACGATATATGGTTATTATTAATCAACGTATAGCACTTACGCTGCAAGAATGACGTTCGTATTAGGATTACGGTCGACAAATCCGGGTTCGGTTGTGTACGTAATTTGAACAATTTCTTCCGTGAATAAATCCCAAGAATTCACGTGATGCTTTCCCGACAGTAGCATACCGTAAAACTTTTCAGGTTCACTGATATACATGGTGTTCAATTTGTTGTCCTGCATTCCCAGGCGGCCCCAAAAACTGAAAAAAAATAGAATCTACAATTGTTAAAAAAAAATATCAATAAAGGTTTTTTACCTGTTCAAACACAGCTTGGCTAGTGCCTTTAAACCTGGATTCGAATTTATTTTTTCATAGTCCAAATCAACGTTTTCGTGTTCTTTAAAATCCGCAATGTACTTTTGTTTCTGCGCTTCCGTCTGAATTTCTGCGGGCCATCCACTGGACTCCGTTTTGATTTTAAGGAACTGATTAATATAACCTTCAAACAGTCGGTCTTCATGCTTGTCAAAGTGCCAAACTTCAAAGATTTTGACTACGCCATATCCACAGTCAAGCGCTTTCAAAATTTCCGATGTGCACCAGGTACCAGTAATGGCACGTTCACAATCCGCATGTTCGCATTTGGTGTTAAGGTGTTTCTCCATACACGTTCGGCACAAAGGGAATGTCAGTTTGCCGCCACAGCGGTAAGGTAAAACCGGATAGGCCAGATCCCCAGGTGGTAGCATTCACACACCACCACTCCAAAGTAGTTTCGAATATCGAGGAAATTCTTAGTTATAATAATGGGATGACCAACAGGATACCGCTTGATTTTGTTGACGAACGGGTACTCGCTGTTGACATCATAATAACGGATTTGTTCGTCACCGTCTACTTTGTGGAGAAGTTTAACCGCATTCGTTCGACCACCATAGAAAGCGTTACGCGGGTCCAATCGGTCCATGAACTGCAGGCGGGAGACAAAAGCTTTCATTTCAGGATTTGATTTCAGTTCTTCATCAAACTCATGCTCTCTAATGCAAGTCAGATTGTATCCTTGTCCTCGAATGTACTTTTCGCGATCGAGCGTCTCTTTATAAATTTCGGACATTGGTATGTCACGGAAAGGGTGCAGGGTTGTTGGGGCGACGCATTTTGGGCAGCCATGAAACCTGCAGCCGTAAAATTCATAAACCATGTGAATATCGTCTCTGTAACCGTCGACATGGTATGGTCCAATGTTGTGCTCGGAACCGTTGATGACCGATTGGATCTCACAATTTCCGTCCTCTTCCATCCAGGACAGCCATTTTTTGGCCTTTACTGACTGGTGGCGATTTCTTGCGTTTAAACCGTGTGGTAGCAGTCCAATCTGTTCCGGTTTCAGCATGAATGTGCGCCAGTACTTGTTGCACAAACCGGCAATTGTTAAGGACGAGACGAAAGGGCACAGCCCTTTGCTTATTCCTTGAAACAGTTTTCTAAACTGCTGGCAACATAACCGTAAAACAGTAACGTCCATCTTACAGTACTTTACGAATTCTTGACGGAAATCAAAAAGGTTGTTCTTCTCCATTTTTTCTTTTTCGTACCATTCTCGGAATGAGTCTTTGGACTTGGTATTCATTCCTTGATAACCGTACTCATCCATCGACGGAAAGGGGACAACTTGATCCCAGTTTTCTTTGCGGTTGAAGCGATGTGGGAAAGTCCCTTTGCTGATGTCTGGTAACCCAAAAGTTGCCGGCCGTTTTGCGAGGCTCTGAGGATTGTAATTAATGCTGTCCCGGAAACGTATATTCAGCAAAGGTACATCCAGCTGTAGAATTTTGCCACCATTGAGAATGACTTTTGGAACCGCTCCATTTTTTAGTAGCCAGTTGAGTATGAAATAGCCATCGAACGACTGAAAGAAAAATGTGACAATTAAAACGCGAAATTTGAGTACATCCTATTTTACTAACTTTAAAATTATGGGCAATGATGAAGTGATCTCTGTGCTCTTCGTTGAACAAGAAGGTACATAATGCATCAGTCACATCACCGCCCAAAGGTGCGTCTTCCGCCGGAAACACCCATTCGTTACCGTCATCATCCTGTAACACCTGTAACAATACCGGATGATATCAAGCTAATAGTAATTTCAAAAAAAAAATAATTTACCGCCAGGTTGGGAACCAAAACGTTGTTCTCTCCGACATAAGTCTCGAAGTCGAAGTATAAAAAGCTGGCGTTTTCGTTTAGCTCCAGTTCTTCTGCATTGACTTGATGTGGTCTCATAAAGCAGTGATGTGAGTCGGGTAGAGCATGCACTTTACAAGTCTTGCAGAAAATCTCACCACACTGATGATTGTTACCGTTTCTCCTTCGCTTCATTGAGACAATCCGTAAACAATCTTTACAGATTTGGACCAAACTGCAAATGCTCCTTCTTTTTGGCCGTCCTTTCAATGGTCCAATCTTATGGTGAGCGTAGCAATCTGGTCCGAAAAAAGCACGGTTGCAGTCGTTGCAGTGCACCATAGAACTTGGATCTGACGGACAAGATGACCTCAAACAGCACTTGCAGATATTTGAACAGCGATGGTCAGCGCGTTCCGAATAACTTTTATTACACGCGTAGCACCAATACTTTTTCCTAAAAAAGGCTGCTAAAGATTTTAAAAGGTCAAAATGATGATCGTGATGCAGCAGGATGATTTGCTTGGGTTGAAGTTTTCCACTGAACACTATGAGGTTTGCATGATCCACACTGACCACAATGATCTGATAGTGAGGAAGAATTTCTTGGAATTTATGAAGGTGCCGAAGGTTAAATTCCTGTTCTTTAAATCCCGCTCGGGTAACAAGAAACTGGGCCTCCTTGGTCTGCAACCTTTTACCACGTATAAGCTTCCGGTACAAGTTTTTGTTTCCGTCGGCATGCGCTTTTCCAACAACAAGGGCACGGGCCAAACAGATTTTATCCGTATTTTTAATAATAACCACTGATTTCATTTTTTCCAATCTTCGGCGGAGAAGCTGCGGTACGTCTCGGTTGCAGCTGCCCTTAGGAATTTCGGTGTATTGCAGTGAAATTTCGAAGGAGTCGTCGATAACAAATTCTTCATACGAATTCAGCACGCGCGCAACCTCAGCCATCCATCGTGCTACCGTTAGCTGCGACCGTGCAATAGGCGGCGTTCATATTGGCCGATTCAGAGATCCAGAATCAAGTCGCATTCTTACCATTTCATCTGGTCCCACGTCTTCCAAAAGAGTATCTAATATGCGCTCCAAAATAAGCGTGATTACAACTGGTACTTCCGAAAACGGCACTTTTTCTAAATCAGAAACTTTCACAGAAAAACATTTGAAATGCAGTCGGTATTTATGGGAGTACTTTTCGCCGGTACAATCGATACGAGTAAAATCTTCAATGTTATATAATAGACTGTTATCTGCCATGATGGTGTAATTTAATTCGTTTAAATTTTTTTTCGTTAATTCGTGTTGCAATAATTATATAGCCTGAGTTGTAACCGACTTCGATGAGAGTTGTAACCGAGCTCGGTAATGTTTTGTTAACTTTTAAATAATTGTAACTGACGTCGGTGATAATTGTTGTCACTGAGGTCAGTGATATCACTTTAATTGTAATCCACTCGGTGATAACTGCGATTTTTCGGCGATATTGTTTATTATAAGTACGGGTCGTACTACCATAAATATATTTTGACATAATTCTTGTTCTCAAAACGGTGCGATAAGCGGCTGTTTTAATGTATTAATTTAATGTTTTACCTGAACCTGTGTGCTTGAAGGAGCAATATAAGTTGGCCAAAAATCGTTTTTTTTATTGAGACTTTGATATAGTTAAGCAGACACAGATGTTAAAAAAATAAGGTTACGTTGCTATCAATGGTGGATATTCAACACCATCGGGCACAAGAATCTGCAACAGGTCTCGTTGTTCAGCTAGCGATTTAACAGCAGCTTCGTTAATATTCATGCAATTAACATAAGTATTTGTTGTAGTAATTCGAGTTAATGTAACATACACTGTGTGACCTTTAATGCTGCGCACCGAACCATTGGCAAATTTTCGGTACCAAATCAACAAAGTGCGACTAATTCGACGGTATGGCACTGTCGGTACTGCAAGCCTTTTGCATTCATTAGCAGCGTTACCGCTGTCCTGATCCCACCCTCCGTCCAAGATGTACTTCAAAATCGTCTGAAACTCATCGCGCGTCACTTCCAAGCTGCCCGGTTTTGTCAAGAACACGAGCACAACATGCGTAAACCACCCATTCCACCCTTTGTCGCTGCTAAAGTACATCAGTAGATTCTCGGCCCTAATATCCCATGGAATAGACCGAAGAGCGGCAGGCAAATTCTTGTGGGTCGTGGTTTTTCGATTTGTTCGCACCCACACCGCCGGCAACGGATGCAACAGCGATAGGGCAACCGCCTCTGACACCCAGTCGCTGTTTCCGGAAGCTAGTGGGGCCGCAGCCCGCCCTTCATCCACAAGGGTTACGGTGGCCGGTTCGTTGAAGTTATAGCATACAGCGGTTTGGTCTGGAAACATTTTATCACTAGGCACTATTTAAAGACGAATTAACTGAAATACGTACTGTCGGTACATGGAACCTGTGCATTCGTCCAATTCATACCCTGCGGAGCAGGTGGCACACCTTGTAGCCCTTATTAAAATAATTCAAAATTAAAAACTGCTCTTTTATTTTTTTATTAGGCAGTATCATACCCGTGTCAACGGTGTTGCATGCTTGCATTTCAGGAAAACCGAACGCAGTCCCTGTAATATCGTTTGGTGAACATTAAACAGATTTCAGGTTTATAGCTTCTAACCTTGACCGTATTGCATCAGATCTTCTTGGGAATCAGCGTGCATGATTACGGGATACTCCAAGTAAATTGGGTACCGATCTGTAAGCAGAATGTCACAAATGAAATATGCTAAAAGCGTAAATATTATTTAAATGTTTATTTAAATTTTTTTTTTGCTTACCTTCCAAAGAAGCGTAATTTGCAGCTAGTTGATAGGAATCTAAAACCATGTAAATTCCAATAATTTGTACTTTTGTTTGTCCGTGTGATTGAAGCTACCTTGTGAGACTTGAGCTGTTGGGACGGTTTGCTCAGATGTATTTCCCAAAGCGCGAGCAGAGCCTACTGCAGGAGCTTGAGGGACATTGAGCTCGGCCATCACCTCATCCAACCAGCCGTAGTCGATCGTGTAGGACGATGTTCCAGGCTGAGACGTAGACTGTCCATTTGCAGCATTATTGGAAACCGTCTGTTGACTGTTTATCTCACGAAGCCATTCATCAATCCATGCAAATTCATCCGTCGCTGCAGCAGGAGGAAGCGGACCATTACCACTGGCGGACTGCAGCTGCGGACTAATCACGTCATAGAAAGGCGTCAGCATTTCGTCGTACGTGTAATCCATAGTCATACAGGGTTAAAAACTTATGAAAGTCAGAAGTTATCCCGGGTGCCTTTTTATAGGAGAATCCACTGCTTGGTTTTTACTTGGTGTAATCGTTTTGGATTACACACAGCGCAAAAGGTCACGAGAATTTCCGAGCTACTGTCATAGCAACAGTTGTACTATCACCGAGCTCGGTGACGATGACCGAGGTCAGTGATAAGGGCCTACCGATACTTAAAGCGATTACACGTTTTTCTTAGTACAACATTTTGTTTGTTAGCATTTAAGCAATTACTGTTTAAGATGTTTCTCCTTATTTTCTTTCCGATTTTGGTTTTGCACAGTGCAGGTGTTCTGGCTATGGACCGCCGACCAAGCCAGTTCTGCAGTCGTGGTAGCACGAGCAATCGTAGGACGGCGACCACTACCGTCAGTCTTCAATCCCCTTATTACGTGCGCTCTCCCTCGGTAGCACCGCATCGCCCCACTATGAATCTATTCCCTCCACTCTTTCCTGGCACTCATTATCATGCTCAGTCTGCCGTACCTGCATTACGCTTGCGTTTACCGGACTTTGCTTCATCTATACCACGGGTATCTACCCCTATTGTAGCTACTACTCCTATGTCGCAACCGCTCCCTGGGCTGGCTGCGTTATTTGCCACTGCGATGAAAGAATATTCCCCTGTTTCTTCCCCTAATCCAGTTTCCCTAACCTCCTACGTCTCACATTGTCATCCTCCCTCTCCAGACACCCCAGACTCTGATGAAAACAACAGTGGAGCCCTGCATTACCACCCTACATTACCGCAGAACTGTTACAGTACCGTAGCAGTGGGCGCTCGCCATGGGGATATGGAAAGCCAGTTGCTCGTGATTCTGCAACAAAGGGACCTTGTTCTTAACGTTCCCATCGAGCTCGCATCAGCTGGCTTCAGTGGGTTACGTGGTACGTACTACGTAGCCAAACAAACCAAGGTTTTGATTTTTTATAAAGGTCACGCTGGTAATGTTTTTCTTTTGCATGCTTTTTGTGAAAAGAATTTTGGAATTTTTTTATTCTGCAGATTTAATCAATGAATATTCCTATTATCATCACCGGATGGCGGCGTTTCATCGAAGTACACCTTTCAAAAACCGTGGGTCGTATTTGCATTTTATAAATAATTTTCTACATTAAACCGTTCTTTTGTAAGAGTTCGGTAGATAACTCAACGCTACATTTTCAGTCGCTTAAAGAAAAAGGTCCTCCAGTTAAAATAAACCATGTATCTGCTGCACAAAATACATCATTTGTTGCTTTCGGTGACTTTTAATAACATTACTGTTATCTATACAGCGTTCGTACTTCAGTTTAATAAAGGTCTCCTAAAATACGTGGTTGTTCCATGTTGCCAAGTAACGGGAAGTTCATGATTTGTAACAGTAAACATTCACTGATCCAGAACGCTAACAAACTTTGTTTAGTTTAATACAAATCCTTCCAAAATATTTTAGAAATTGCGAGACCTTTAAACTGATTAGACGTTTTTGCATTTGCATTTAAAATGTATACCTGTTTCACTAACTTATTTTTATCAAATAATAACTGTGTACAGCCGTTCTTGTCACGAGCAGAATGCTTTCACCATCTTTTTTATGCGGACCAGGTGTGTGAGAACGTAAAGTTTGCAGCAAACTCTTGTCTTGAGAATCTTTCAGAAGAGCATGACCTGGAGGCCAATCGCGACTACTGCGCTGTGCTCACAAATTGTTACAAGCCAGTGCTGCCAGATTTTTTTGTGGGGCATAACGATACGATAATTCGAAGCATTATTTTTGGCACTGGTTATTCAGACGAAGTTGTTTACTTTGGTTTCGAACTCATTCAAAGACTTGAAATCATGGGCGAAAATGAAAGGTCGACTAGGGGAATTTATCGGTATCCCTTCATTGACCGACCCTGAAGCGTGCAGACGCATTCTGCGAGCGAAATTGGTTTTGGTGCCTTTTTACCGATCAGCTGGAAGAATGGTGCACCTCACATTGGCGGTCATGCACGGGAAAGGTAACCTTTATTACTACGACAAATATTGCAGCTACCTAACTGTCTGTGTGCTATTTAGTTGTACAGAAATTTTTTTATTATTTTGTATTCTAGTTGCATATCATTTCGACAGTCAGGGGAACTGTTTTGAGGGTCCATGGAAGACATTTCTTCGTCGTATGAAACTTCTTGACCAGGGAGTTAACCATTCGCATTATGGTCGCCTGGATTCCTGGCAGAAACCTGTCCAGCTTAACAAGGACAACTTACAACAGAAGGTAAACCTTTGTTCTTTTTTACTTCAATAAATATTTTTTTAAGAAATTGTTTAAATTTACCGTCCGGATTTTTTATGATTCATATATAATTATATTTTGTAATTATTAATTCTTTTATAAACCCTTGCGTTGGTTAATGCAGGCCGTTACGACGGAACAAGCCTGCGGAATAATCTGTATGAACATTGTGGCGCGCGTTGTTTTCCACTATTGTACTGAAGGCGTCCACACAGATGCCAGCGTCACGTTGGCGCTTCAAGGTTTCCTCAGATTTCAGCAGGAAATGGTGGAAGTGGAGAATTTTGGAGATATAGAAGAAACAAAGCAAATGTGTGCTCGTTTTGTTAGTTTAGCGGGTCTGAAGTGCTTCAAGACCAAGTGGGAGACCGAACGCTATACAAGTAAATTGCCATACAATGACTCTAAACATAATAAAATAATAATAATAAACGCTATACAAGTAAATTGCCATACAATGACTCTAAACATAATAAAATAATAATAATAATAATAATAATAATAATAATAATAATAATAATAATAATAATAATAATAATAATAATAATAATAATAATAATAATAATAATAATAATAATAATAATAATAATAATAATAATAATAATAATAATAATAATAATAATAAATTTTTTTTTTCAAAAACTGATGACCTTTTCAAAAATTTAAGTGTAACGATAGGATTTATACAGTTCCATTTTATTGGCTGCCGTGTTAATCGAGATGTTCGTTTACAGAATATGCCGAGATACTCGGCTGGCCATCCGCGCTACCGTTCAAGGTCTTGGAGGAGAAGATCTTGGCAGGGCAGAAGCTTCTGAAAATTACACATTTGGGTGTGAGACAATGTCTGTATTCTTATGTGCCTGAACGATATTTTCTTTTCCGCATTGGCGCGATTGATGATTCTTAATTATTATTTCATAAACAAAATTATTAAATGACTGCGTATTTGATTATTGTTTTTTTTTGTATCTTTATACATAATTATTTGGAATATTTCAGTGCAGTACTGGCCATCCGCGCTACCGTTCAAGTGACATTAATTTAAGCGGTTTTTTCGTTTACGCATATACAGTAAAAAAATCTTCACGCCATCTATTAATAGTACAGTACTTATTGTCAAACATGGCTCAAACACTACCGCTTCCATTCGGGAGCCCTTTCCCTTCGTACGTCGTACGGCTTCCCTTCAGGAGACGTATCTTCCAGCACTGTATACTGTTTCCGTTCGCCAGCATTATTTGCCAATAACCCTTGCTACACACTACTCAGTACGTAGGCACTGCTTGGTCATATTAAGACGCACCTGAATTGATCCCAGTTCGTGCGGTTAAAACAACATCATGGGCTGCTTGAAACGTCAGCGGGGCTTCCAGCAATGCCAAACTCAGCTGGCAAAGCTCTCCAGCGTGGTCTTCATTTGGCAATGGCACACCACTGGAGATCTGTGCAAAAATTAAGCACCAATCACAAAAAATGTTATGGTTTACTGAGAATTCATGAAGTTTTGACAACGTACCATATAACAGTCGCCAATGGTTTCCACTTTATATGCGTTGAAATCGTGGACGACGCCGTCGAATTCTGAATGGGTATCATTCAGGATACTGATCAACTCAATGGGAGTGCAGCGTTGCAGAAGTATGGCAAAAGCCGGAATATCACTGAACAGAATGGACACACTGCTGAAGGATTCCGCGGTGATTGGTTCTTTGTTTCGTAAACGCTGAATAATCGATCTGCAACGGTTTTACAATGAAGAAATCGTATGGCGTTGCGTAAAATAATTCTTACTGCGGGAGTATTTCTGCAAGAAGCGAATCGGATTTGCGCATCTCATCCAACAAATCGGCTGTCTTGATTTTGACCTTTTCCTCCAGATCGTGCGCTTGTCGGTCCAACAGTGACAGCATGTGTGACACGACGTTTTTTGGTAGTTTTAGCAGTTTCCGAAAGACAATAAGGACAGTCTGGCACGTTGGGCGTTGGGATGGCTCGGTGGAAACGCAATTGGCGATGACATTATTTAGCGGTGTTAAATTAGGGTAGTCCCGGTAGTGGTCTTTTACTTTGACATCGACTGTAACATAAAGAAAAATCTATGTAATTAGTGAACTATTCTTATTAAGCACCGAAGCGTTATCATCTCCCGAAAAACTCATGCGGTACTTGTTTGCCTAATCACATCGCTGCATATGGTCCCGAACCGGAAAACATCATCGCTCCTTGATCCCCTTGCTGTTTTGTTGTCCTTCATCGACAAAGTAAAAATTCGTTGGTATCCTGCTTGAGCAATTTTCAGTGTAAAACGGCTGTTAATAAAACAGGCTTGCATCGACAGATCACCGTGATAATGCAGTGGTGAGGAGTGTATATAACTGAGGCCCTGCAATAAGTCAAACAAAATATTACGCGCTGACGTCATTATAGCCGGCATGATCCTGTTGTGATGGTACAACTTTGGATGATGTGGCTTTTACCTTTATCAAATCACGTAAAAACGAGAGTCGGATGGACAGATCGCTCAGGATGTTTCGATGCGCCATTATTTCCCATAAACTCCCACGGTGTGAATACTCGCACATCAGATGATGTGGAATTCCGGCATCATTCAATATCACTCCATAAAAATTGCCGACGTTTTCATTAGTTAATCGGTGCATCTGAAATGGATTTTAACAATTTATACACCATCAACATAGCGCTTTAATGCTTAGCGGATATGCAAAAATCGATAGAAAGGATATGTAATATACAGGGGTGCTACGCCAAGTTCGGGCAGTTGCAAAAACTCCTCTGCTTCTACCAATTAAGTCTAATATTTTTAATTTATTCTTGCAAGATAGTTCTTATCCTGGACCACCTTAGATAATTTTGCTTCTATGCAAAAAGCTGATGTACGAGGAATGCGAGCCGAATTTTTAATTTCAGTTTTTGTGTGAAAATCGCACTGCTTAATACGAAATAATCATGTTCCTTCAACAAAAATTTAAAAATGGGTGGACGTTGACAATTGTAAGGTGTGTGCTGTGTTTCTTAAGGGTCCTTCCGCACCTTCAGTTGAAGCACTAAAATCTTCCTTTATGGGATCGGTGCTCTAGGCAACCGCATTCCCCTGCAGGTACTATTTAACATACAAGTCTATGGGAAACGCACCTTTTTCCGAGGTCACCTCGAGTACTGATGGCGCAATTCATCTATGCCGACCCTTGAACGACACCTTCTGGGTCACTCAACAGTTTCCGAAATTGTTCGCGCAAGAATGTTGGTTGGGACAGTTTGAATCGGTCCAGTTATAAGCACCAAAAAAATTACCTCCACTCCCACCCCTTATATTCCGCCCCGCCCCTTACTATCAAGCAAAACGATAAAAAATTTGACACTGTTGGATTCGAAAGAAAACGTTATACTAAAAAAGTGAAGAAGCAAAAATAAAATGACGTACGGGAATATTTTAATTTATTTTACGCAACTGCCCGAACTTGGCGTAGCACCCCAGTAATAAATTTCCAGTTCAAATAACTGCCATACAACGACAACCAACATTGAGCAGTTGACTGGTAAGCAAGCGATTGCGAAACCACGCTCTTCTGGAAATATCACTTGGAAGCTGGATACAATAAACTGGCTGGTGTTCCAGGCGAAGGCTTCCGTCGTTGTATGATACAGTTTGCTTTCCCTCAACCGAATTGTTTGTTGATTCGTAGGTTAGCGATGCGGCGTTGAGAAACATATGCAAAACAGTCATCCGATTTGCTTTTCGTCTACGATACCATATAAATCATTAATTATCACTAAAAATTGCAAGGCATGAGTAATTAAGTATGTTTTATCAAAACATTATGGAATTATAAATTTGGTTTACAGACCTACGGATTGATTTTAATCAGTTTCAATCTAAGGTATATGCAAACACAATCTAAGATTACTCTTTATACTGGACATACAAGTACAGTACGTATGTACACAAAAAATGACTGTGTATGCAATTTATACTGTACATACAAGTACAGTACGTATGTACACAAAAAATGACTGTGTATGCAATTCACTAAGTCCTATTTACCGATACAACCACCCAGCGCACAGCGCAACTATAATTATAACGATCAGTGCAACACCGGCCAAAATCGGTCCCCAGTTTACTGCAAATCAAAACCCCTTGTTACCCTGATGACTGGGACACAGGAAATAATATGTGCTGAACAAAAGATCGAAACCTGAATTTTCCGGACAATGTTCACCGTCAAAACCACATATCGGATCATTAGACGGAAATTTCGTCTGATTGTGCCACAACCAAAGGTCAACAGCGACAATAACAATGGTTTGGTTCTCGGTATCAAAAATTGCGGCTGTCTGTAAAAGATCTCGCCTTTTAAGTGTTGCACAAATTCAGATGGACATAATTTGCATACGGCATCTAATATCGTATCCATACTGTCTGCTATCTGTGGGTTACCTCCATTCGTCCATTGGCTGTATTCAGCCGCAAAATTGGAACTCGGAACGCTGCGCTACCATCTCGCGCCAATGTTGTCCCACTCGATGGACGAGTGTACATTTGCTCTTTGAGGCGTTGAGCAAACACTCGAGGCCGGAAGTGCTCCGCATTGCCCCACGAGCTGTTCACCGCCTGGTCGAAAGCTCTTTACCGCGATGCGTTAATACTCATAATAGGAAGTAAAAATATTTGCTCACCTCAGCGAAATTCATTAGGAGCTCATACATGAGAGCAGAGACTTCGTTACGCTGAAAACAATTCAACACGGAAATTTAGCCGACAAACATCCAACACATCCTTGATTGCAAGTACATACAAACCTCTTATCTAGTTGTGCTCTTTGCGAGCGTACTTACGATTCTGTCGGGTTTAACGGTGATGTTATAAACGTCCATCGATATTTTTGCGGTATCGTCAAGAAAATCCTGTAAGTCGTCCCATTTGATCGGAACTTCGGATACAGCGATGAGCGACTGAAAGGCTTGAAATGCTTTCTGCAATACACCACTGCAAAGCTGCGAAACTTATGTAAATTAATACATAGGTGCAATGAAATTAGTAGTCAGTAGGCACTGGGCACCACTATGGATAGCATGTTAAATCATGGCAAACAGGAAATATGATCTTGATCCCCAAGGATTTCAAAGAAAATCTTTTTTCTAACTTTGAAAATTACCTGATCGTCTTCTTTATTTTCTTTCCACGTAATTCGATAGGCGATCCCCGGCTTAAGATCGGATGCCAGCGTTAAGAATACCTATCCGAAGAAACACGATGTGATGCGAATTTCAGCTTAATAAACAGCGAAAACTGCTCACGTATTTTCCATTGGTCATGTTCATTTCATTGGCGGTGATCTGCAACACACACGAACTAGAAGTATACGAGTAACAGGCGGATAATACTCGTATTCTGCAAACGTTGCACGGGAGTAATAGGTAAAAACATTACCATGAACTGGCGCAAAAGCTGCGGAAACATGATAACTATTATCACTGCAAAAGCAATAATATACTGTATGATAATATACATAAGAAGGAAGAATTCACGGGATGGCAGAAGTACCTCGAGATCGCGGGCGCATAAAGGTCAAGACTTCGCGGTAGTGCGCCGAGGAAAACTCGGTTATATCCGGACGGAAAACATGAAACTGGTTAGCAGGGACTTTACTGTACAGTTCGCTTCGGATAAAGGCATCACAGAAGACGGCCGGGTTAAAAATACCATGCGTCGGACACCACAAACCAATATTACGGGTCCAACCGAAGTGTAATAGGAGAGCGGCAACACCGGCTTCCAGGGTCGCTCCGGGCACCGGTCCTAGTTCGGCTAAGGTGGGGTAATCTTGAAACCGGGCCAAGGCTCCGTTCGCGGGGTCCAAGCTCAGAAGAAACACATCCGCTGCTGCAGTACGGTATGTGAACATAAAGCCTTAATGCTATCTTAATTATGGCAATACATAATATATAACATGCGCTATAATTAAACAGGACATTAGAGTTCTACCACTGGATCGCAAGTGACCTGCTAACGTTAATGCAACCGGTTATAGCCGACTTTTGGGATGCACAATCAGAAGGTTTTTTAGGTTTTTTTGGCCGAAAATGTCACCATTTTCTTTCGAAAATGTCATAATTTCGTCTCCACTGATTCAAGCATGAGCACGGTTTTTATGAAAACCAGATTGACTTGCGATAATATGTGATGAGAGATGGAAAAATATTCTTCTAAATTGCGCATGCATATTGGTATTTTGTTGTCTTAATAAAAACAGACATTAACATTACTTTACGCGCTTACCGCTTGTAAACTTGGCCAGTTCTAAAGTTGCCTGATCGCACCAGTCTGCAAAGAAATTACAAGAGGAATTATCGTTTTGATTACCCGAATAATCCGAATTCATTCTGACAATGTAATGTTTTTGTCGCCGAGAAGCTTGGCTTAACACTTAATTATTTTTAATATTTTGATCGTTATCCATTTTTATGTCAATTATAATTTCTTTATTTACCCAAAGCAAGGAAGAGTGGAAATGTTTCGGTATTTGAAAAACTCGGGAATTCCGTTGATAATAGGCTCCAACGTACGGCATAATAACCTCGTACGCATAATCACAAGGATAGGAATACCCCTGCTTCGGCATGCTTAGGGCCAAGTTCAACGTCGGCATGACCGTCAGATGGGAATAAACCAACGGATATTTCTTGGTGATGGAAGACAGTGTGGCATCATATGCCGGCAACATAACCTCGTACCCATAAACTTCGCTGTTTGTCATCGTCACAGCGGCAATGCTGATATTTAGACCGCATGCACAATTCAGGGGGCTCATGCACAACAGCAATACGGTAATTTTATGAGATAATGAAAGCATAACGAGAAACAGCTTTGCTTCAATGCAAAAACATGATAACTGAATTCGAAGGAGAGTTATCGTATACAGTCTTTATTTACCGAGAAAGACTGCCGCATCAAACCTTTTACCAGCCCGGTTGTTCACAAGAATAATTAAATTTCAGACGTTGTGCAATACTAACTTTACATGTATTTTAAACGATAACTATGAAAACCACCCCGCTATAAAAAATACTGCTGAACAGAGCTGATTTTTCTCTATAAAACGATATGCGCCTGGTATTTGGGCGAATAACTCAAAGGAAATATTTAGCTCGTGAGGTTGCTGCAGCATGTTTTGATTTCGGGCTTTTTTGTAATGTGTATTGTATGTATTGTACTGCACACTTCATACATTTCGATTTTATGCGTGGGTTGCAAAACTTCATGTCTAGGTTTATCTTTATGTGGGAAAGCCTTATGTTAGTGTTAGCGTTTACCGTAATTATCGAATTTGTGAACCTAACCTGTAACTTTCGGGGGGGGGGGGTTTCAAAGAGGATTGGGGGGACGCTAATTACGGGGGTGCTCTTATTGCGGGGGTGAGCCACAGAATCGATAACTACGGTATGTGAAAAATTTCTAAAAAACAGGGCCTGAAAACTTATGCTCACATAAAGTTGCATGTGCTCACCTACAGATAGATCGGAACTTGTGCTTAAAAGTTGTCAATACTCCCCTCTTCTGTGTAACTAAGCGGTTTCTGGTTGTTTCATTATTTTTTAGAAAAGCAAAAACTTTCACAAACGCACCGAAAAACGCTATACGCTGATGCGTACCATATTATCTTCTACCAAAAGATTTGCCAGTGGCACCCGAGTGGCATCTGCGGGCTGAAATGATCTTTCGTCGGAAATGGGCGACGGTGTCCGTACAGCACCAAGCGATCTGATAACTGATTAAGAAATGAAAAAATTTACATGGGAGCTTTATCATTTGGAGATCATCTAATTGTCGACTAAGTGCAATAAAATATAGATCGACTGCTAGAAAGATGCGTCACAGTAAAACGAGTCTGTGGCAACACAATACGGTTCGCGAGTCTTGTGTGCTGTGAAGTCAGAATAAGCCGGTATTAACACTTTAATACACATAACTCGACTTCGAACCAGTCAGTCACTTTCTCTACTGACTGGTACAACATCTGGTACAGTAAAACCTCTCTAAAAAATACAGACACGGTTCCATCAGTTTCGTATGTTATACCGGGGTGTATTTTATAAAGGGAAACTGCCACCCGGTGCACTGTTATAATTTGGGGTGGGGGGCGTCGGAGTACGGGTTTCTTTTAAATGCAACATTAAGGCAGTAGCAAGAATCTGTAGTACTTTACAAATTTGTATTACATACGAGTACATAAATTACAATAAAAAATACAGACTTCGTTTTGAGTTCATCATAAAGCATGGTTAGTACTGGAAGACTGGTAAAATAAAAATATTCTGTGAGATATACTTCTGCATATAGTAATTACCATTTACACAAACAACGTTAATGTTGCTCCATATTAGCTCAGGATTGTCAAGTGGCGCTGGCTAGGCGCGCACCGACCATCGACGGCGGAACAAAGCAAACCCGGATGAAGGCTTTAATGCCGAAATCTAACACACACCGCGCTTTGCGCGCGAGCCAAAAAACCAACTGCCAAGATAACGGATCCTGCAGCCAGCACAGCTGTGCTGCAGGCCGTGAGAAAGCATGCAAATGCCCAGACAGGAAAAAACCCAAAACCAACCAATGACAGAAGGGCTGAATCATAAGCCCGCCCTGACATCCCTGTACGGTCTAACACTGAGCTCCTGCGAAGTGCAGGTAAATGGCGTGATGCGCCGTAAAAGAACAGTGGATACAGGGACCGGTACGGTCCCTGTACTATGTCTAATAGACTGTACTACCGGGTGGCTCGGTTCCAGTTCGGTCGGCTCACGTGGTCCGGTATGGGATCCAGTTCGGTCAGGTTTGGTCCGGCTCGGTCCCGGTTTGGTCGGCTCGGATCTGGTTCGGTTTAGGAATGGTTCTGGGTCGGTTTGGCTCGGGTTCGGCCACGGGCGGTCCAGTGCTTGGGTCAACGCACTGTCGCGCCAGAATCCAGGGTCGGATGCGGAAATCGGTAGATTCCGCATTTTATCCGTCTGGAAAAAGGTCACGGTCTGGGGAAAATCGCGCAGGGGTTTGGGGCACAGGTACGGCCATGACCCTGCAAACACAAAAATACGCTGCTCCGGGTAGGGAAAATCAGCTGCTCCGCCGCGGGAAAGGTTGTCCCAGGTAGGACGGGCAGGGTTTTGTTGGGGGGAAATTTCTCGGCGTGGTGATGGTGGTCGATCCGGCCGTGGGGATCGGGGTTGGCATGGCTGTTGGTGGTGGTGAAGGGTCCGCAGGTCTCCTGCTGGTCCGGGTTGCGTCCACCGTCGGCATCCGTCATCGGTACGGTGTGGCTGTGGGTTTGTCCGTCCATCGCTGCACTTCTGGCTTGGCGACATCTCCATCCCCTTCTGGGAGAGGCAGTTTCCTCCGCGTTCTGCGGGAGTGACGGCACAGCTCCGGCGACTGACGGGAAATCCGGAGGAGCGGGTGAGCTCCGTACCCGGGGTTGGCACAGGACGCGATCTGGTCCACAGCTCAGAGGTGGCCCGTGAGCGGGGCAAGCCCGCTGTGTAACACACGATCGTCACCGTGATCTGCTACCATGTCAAGTGGCGCTGGCTAGGCGCGCACCGACCATCGACGGCGGAACAAAGCAAACCCGGATGAAGGCTTTAATGCCGAAATCTAACACACACCGCGCTTTGCGCGCGAGCCAAAAAACCAACTGCCAAGATAACGGATCCTGCAGCCAGCACAGCTGTGCTGCAGGCCGTGAGAAAGCATGCAAATGCCCAGACAGGAAAAAACCCAAAACCAACCAATGACAGAAGGGCTGAATCATAAGCCCGCCCTGACAGGATGTTAAGGTAACATCAGATTGCATCCAGGTACCTGTATGCAACTGTATTTAACCGGGGCTGAATGTTGTTCAGAGGTTGTCCACACTAGTTAAACTGCATTTGGTTCCCCGGAAAGTGTATGTCAGGCTTATAAAGAGGTGAATGTTATAAAGAGAATCCCCCCTATGTTATAACATGCGAGCCGATTCGGTTCCTTAATTAAAACAGTGAGAGAAGAAGAATCATAGAAGTATCTGCGCTCTCTTGGTTGACCTTAAGCTTCCTCAGCAGATTCGAAAATCTGCTCATTTATACAGATAGACAAGCCGCGGTTTCGTCCGTTGTGATTGTTTGATTTGATGAACAGTGTCTCCGAGCTCAGTCTCAATTTTTTATCGAAAATTTCGATCAAATATATTGTGTTTTTCAACTTTCCCGGGGAGGATCTCGTGGTCATTTGAAAAAACCCCCTCTTCCGCTACAAATACCGTACTCCAGTGATTATTCTAACAATGATTGTTCATACAGTGTACAAGAGGGAATCCCTTCTGCCTAATGAGCTGAGATTGAGATTGCTGTCCGAAGACTAAAATAGACATCTGGTTACCGCCAATGCTATTTTTTCCAGTTCACTAGTCTGTGTGTTTTAGTTTTTTCTACTGGATTTATATTCTGAAACCTACAGGTTGTATGTTACAGAGAAGTGTATTTAATAAAGAAGTGTATGTAACGAGAGGTTTTACTGTAGTATGACAACAGAAAATTTTTAGTCAGGGAATAATTAGTGGCCTTCGTCAATACACGAGAAAGCAAGGACACTACATACACCCAGAATATGCATTTAGAAAGGCCTCTTTACCATGTCGCAAAGGCAAGATGTAATAACGTAACTGATGATGTGATGTACGTAATACTGGGAATGTCACGATTTAATTTAAATTTAACAAACCCGAAATATTTCAACTTTCAGGTCGAAAAGCAACGTCAGCTTCGCGCTTTGCGCGAGACCTCAACTCGGACTACAAGGTTTCGCGAAAAAATGTACACTATCGTACTGATGGCCTTCTTGCGATAAAAGTATTAAAAACTTTTACAAGCTCATATTTCGAGGTTTTCAAAAGTTTTTGTAGATGTGCCAATTTACGCTCGTACCTGCTATACTCCCGAGTTTTGCCAGTTAACTAATACTCCGTTTTTTAATACTGGTTTTAATAAATAACCAGTGCTCCCCCTCTTTGCAAAAATTAAGTGTGCTCACACAGATTTTGAAGATTTTAGGCTCTGAATTTACTGTGAGTAAAAAGCACTAGGATTCTGATCTTTATCACTAAACAACCAATAAAGCGCGGAGAAGGGCGACTAAGTTTCTAATGCAAAAATTCTGAAAATGTTAAAAGGAACAAAACGTAGTAAAAAGTAATAAAACCACGTGAAAGTTTGGGAAAAGTTCATAAAGAACGGTGAAGTTTGAATTCTTTTGGGAAGTTCTCTACTGAATTATTTAAGCAGACTTGCGCGAAAAGTATACAACTTGATGTCCGTCAACTTTGAAAAAATAGAACCAGTTCTATTTCATAATTTTGACGGACGAAGCCAAATTTTGACGGCCATCAACTTGACGGACCTCCTAACTTTTCGGACGATGTCCGGGTACGTAGTTATACTTCTCAAGTCAGTCACGTGCAATGTGACGGAGTTGGGGAAGTGTTTATACTCTGTAGTTGCGAAATTTCATCAGTTCCGTGAGATGTGACGGTCTTAAAACCGAGTATAAATAGGCTTTAACACTCCTACTGGCAGCAAAATCTACAGTAGTTTCTTTCGCTGTACACTGTAGATATCTTATCAAGTTAGAACACCGGCTGGCCCGGCAGCTATCTTTCGCCCAGCTGGGCATCGCACACGCTGCTTTGAGCATCGAGCAATGTGTGTTCATGAAGCAAGTTATAAACGAACAGTGTCGTTTTAATCACCCGAAAGATGCACACATTACAAATATATGTTTCATGTTTGCAAGCACTAATTGTTATCTTATCATGTTGTTTACGCAAGTGGAAAGAATCGACTCGCATTTGGAAAAAGCGATAAATCGATTGTTCCTTCCGAAACTGCAGTGCTACAAATTAATGCGCCATACATCGTTGTAAAGTTTGCAACGGTAACGTTTAGCCTCGTGACCCTTCTCATATTCTCTAACGTATTCTTGAGGTATTTTTTATCCACCGTTTACACGTGACACCACTCGCCAGCAACCTTCGTATTTAGCGCAACAACTGCTCCAGATTTCTCAGATATGAAGGAAAATAATACAAATGCGAATTACACGCAAGCCGTTCTGCAGTTATGGTAAGCTACTCGACAGCATAAAAGAGCGATTGCCTTTTCTTTTCTGTACGTTGCGTTACCATTTCATGACTGTTTACCATCGTACAGATAGATCTTGTTTTCCCGTTACAGCTAGTTGCAGATGCCGTATTGTCTCAATTTCAATGTACCGGTAGGCGGTAACCATGAGCCATGACTCATGAGGCAAACGCACATCTCAAACCGGATGCGCGAAAATGTGCATATTGCAACTTACAAAAGCCGAGCCACAGTTGCTGCATTTTCAAGCGCATTAGTGATTAGACCTTGGAAACTGCATAAACACGGAACAACAGCGTTTACTGGTTTGAAATTTGATGCTTCTGCCAAGATAATTAGTTCGAAAAATAGAAGCCCTCCTTCGCAATATAAGACCCATGCCCGTAATTGCACTGCGCTCTATGCTGCAGTAAAATGCATTAGAGTGACCGACGGGCGGACAACACATTTTCCACAAGCGATGACCACAGAGGACCTTAGAATAAGTACACACCGTAATTATAGAATTATAAGCCCTGGGTTACAAAAGTGGGAACGCCCTGCGGAGGGGCTTCAATTACGGGCATGGTCTTATATCTCGGATCTCGGAGGGGGGGGGCTATTGCCGGTATATTTCAAGTGTGGCATGGTGGTGGTGGTATTGTGTGCTAGGTACCGGTACATGCCGGTAATTCATTTTACCGTGCATTTTATTAAAGCCCAGGGTTTGTATTTCGAGGGGGGGAGGGCCTGTAAGTTGATAATCACGGTACAATCAATGACACAAGTGTGACTTGTGAAATGTATGACCTATTTCTATAACCCGTGCATGGATTTTAAATTCATTCAGTAAGGTACCTTAATTATCGCGCGAGCTTAATCGGCTAAAATAGCAATAATTCTATAAGTACAATATTTTGTTATGCTAACAGTACAGATAAGTAAGATGAACTTCTTTATTTTAGGAATATAACTCTGGGCCTTTTAACTTGGGACAACAAAACATTCAACGATATACCAAAGCCCGAAAACTATTTAGAAACGGATTCCAATAAAGAACCACCACCGCCTCGTGGCTACTCTTATTGGACACCAATAGTGTTGATCGTAACTGTTTTTTTGATTCCTGTTAGTATTTGTAAGTAGGTGTCGTTGCATCCAAGTATTGGTAAGTATTGCTGCAAAATAAGCGCAGAAATATTGTTTTATTCTTCAGGGGTATACTGTTGCATTAAAGAAAGAAACAAAGGAAACAGGCGGGATGACTTGGTATTGGCTGCAGAACAAGCTGAAACTGGCATCGCACCTTTGCTTTCTGACTGTAAAGATGAAAGGACTGTCGCTGTTTCAGAAGGTATGGTAGGTATGGTACATTTGCAGCAGAGTTTAATGTGAGTATTTAAACGGGACTTAACGGATTTTTTTAGGTCAGTGCTATGCGCCCCAACGATCCTCGTAATAATAATAGTAATTGTAATGCGCCTAGTACAAAGTCAGTGCTGAAGTAGGTGGCTGGCTTCCGGAACGGGCGTAAAGGAACACGCAGTGCGCTTAGTGTGCACTGCCTGTTCCTCGACGCCTTCAGTTCCTTGGCAAGCTTGTATCTGTGTAGCTGGTATAGCCCATTTCCTAATTTTTGACTCAGTGAGAAAAGGGGTGGGCTTATACACGGCCTTACAGAGAGTGAGAATGCTTCCGCTCTGTTCATTCACTTGCATCCACTGAGATTTAAAATCAGTGTGGGTGGGCGAAGGGGTGAGTTTGTTTTTAAACGGAATAGTCTCCGAAGGCGCAGCAAGTGAAAGATTTGCATGTAGTACAGTACAACGTTTCAATAAGCAACGTCATCCGCTCTCCACCTTTTGTATTCATAACGTTTATACGGCGGCCCGTTTCATAAATCTGCTTTCGATCAACAAGTTGTTTAATTAACCGCACAAACGTACAGTACAATCATAAAAAAAAATTCAGATTTCAAATTTTTCACCAAAAATTGGTCAGGAAAGAAGTAGCAACTACATAATCTGCTTCAACAATTTGTTGCACTTTGTCATGTTTAGACGGCATGTTAACCAAACGATTAATCGGGAAAGGCTTTCAAACTTATAAGCAGAAAGGTTGTAACCCTTTGTGAAAATCCAAAATTAAAAACTGGGATGGCGAATATAAGAAATTTATTAGGTGATTCACGTATATCTGTATGTAGAGTTACTATGACTGTTAATTACGTATTTTGCGAGGCCGCTACGTGACTGAAGGAGCGTAAGTATCCAAGTTTTACTGCACGACGTTTACGTAGAAATTAAATAAACACATGATTACACATCATACCCGCACTCACGACAGCAAGTTTCAACGAAAAATTAAGAAATGGACTATGTCAGGCAATCGATCTGTGGCTGGGCCGATGGCAAATGGCTATGTCGATTTTAGCTATTACGGCGTTAAGACTAAAGGTGTGAGTATAGTACTGCTTTAACTTCAAAGTTGGGTCGGCCAACTTCGCTTCTGCCGTCCATTTACCTTTGCCATTTCAGTTTGCCTTTTTCAGCTCTACCTTTGTCGCCGGAATAACCGCTAGCACAATGCTTTACCGTTTCAGTACACCGTCTTTAAAAGCCTTTGTCGTTTGAAAAACGAATCCCCGTTAACACATTGCCATTTCTGAACATTTTTAGTGCCATGTCTTTATTTGATGTTTGAATACTAGCTGTACTCGAAAGGCACTTTAAATGCGTTCTGTACGATACAGAGCCGGAAGTTCTGTATCGTTTCGATCACACCCCCTTACTGCTGATTGGACGGCCGAGTTAAAGTGTTCTGTATCTAAAAGGAACTCTCCTGGCTCCGTTACGATACAGAACTCGCATTTCTTGCTAGGTCAAATTTATTTTTTGATGTAGATGCACAGTCCGCTGTACGTCTAAAGTCCTATTTTTAATTTTCAAGTTTTGAGGGTGTAATTAACGGGAGTTTAATTGTTTCTATCGAATCAACATTCCAGTTCTGCTTTGTTCACTGATTTTAGCTGCCTCCGATAGTGCATGTTTGAATTTGTATCGATGGCAACACGCAACTTCGCCATAGCCGTCAGCGCGAGGAATACTTCGGCGTACTTTACGTGCAACAGCCTTTCGCTTTTTCACCAGTCGTTTGATTTCGTAACTTAACAAAACTTAAAATCGTCAGAAAAACAGAAAGGAAATGGCCACAAAATTGTTGTGAAAAATAAATAAATCGTTGACCAATTCAACTACAGTAACTGGGCGCTTTTAGAAACCGTGGTCTCGTTGCTCTGTAACCATCTATAAGATTCAGCGCTGTACCATTGGTAGATTCACTTTTAGAGAACTCCCGGCTCTGTATCTTACAGAACGCATTTAAAGTGCGTTTCGAGTAGTACTACTGTAGTCTGTACGTATATGACTGTACATAATATAATAATATTTATTACGATATCTTCGTATGCAGAACATGCATGTAGGAAAATTTTTAAACTTTAGCTCTGATTCCTAACATATTTACGGAAACAAAAGTTTTGCCAACGCAAGGTCAAACACAACAGAGAGTTATGAAACACTTTCTTTAATATTATTATTAATTTTGTTGTTCGCAAAAGTAGCAACGTGCCCGCAATGTGCTGGGGCCTAATAAAATGAACCACTAAACTAATGGCTTAAGGTGATTTAAGGCTTAAGGTGATTTTTTCTGCGTCCGTCAAAATTGTGTTTTATTTACATCTACCAGAATGTACAAGAGAAAATATGACCGTGACAAAAAGCTGTACTCTGATCCAGCATGGATCACGCTCGTGCACAAAGCTGCTTTCTGTTTTCACTAGGATAACATCCGTTAAAAGCTAATTTTGAGAAAAAAAGTTGTTCTTAAAATCTTTCCTGAATCTCAAGTGGAACCAGTGCATGCATCTGGTACCAGTTGTAATAACTTGATTTTAGCTTTTTTGAAACTGTTAGAGTGTTGCGGAAACAGCGGAACTATGCTGAATTTGTTTCCAGAAAGTTTGAGCCGTATTATATACAAATATTATATGCAACGCTTTAAAGAAAAACAACAATAAAATAGTCAAGAAATGGAAATGTGTAAACGGTAAATCGTATTTCACACGGCGAAGGCTTTTAAAGACGGTGTTCTGGAACGGCAATGGAGTGTAACGGCTTTTCCGGCGGCAAGGGCAAAGGTGAAGGTAAAGTTGAAAAGGCAAACTGAAACGGCAAAGGCGAAGTTGGCCGACCCTCAAAGTCACTTGCGACTTGCGAATATCAACGTTTTCATTGAATAAGTTGAGATGGGTTTTGCGTGCCTCCACAGAAATACAGTATACTTACTACAGTGGACACCGCAAATGTGGTTACACCGATAGCTGTATGCATGCATAGCGCTATCGGCTATCGGTGTAACCACATTTATGGTGTCCATTGTAAATTATATAAATATGCTCTCATTGTAAAGACCAGTCACGGTTTAGTAAGAGATCTACGGGGCGCATGACCAAAATTCTGTGCGCCCAGATACCGGCCAAACAGCCAGTTCACTTCACGCCCGGTTTCCGGGCGCATGTCCAGTTTGCTTAGCGCCACAATGTCCGAGGAGCAGCTAATTTGGTAATTTTATTTAACCTGTTTCCTGCAGCCCACTCTTTCAACCGCCAAACTGACTACTCTAAAAAGTCCGAAAGCAAAAGCAGCGACATCTCATCCAACAAATCTGAAAACCAATCCGACTTTGAGACCGACGACGAAGTCATTCTAAACCCAATGGGCAGCACTTGTCAGTATAATTACAATGATTCGGATTATTTTGCAAGAGGAGCATTCGGGATTTTATATAAGGCTATCGTCACTGATAGCGGAGATTTTGCCGGGAAAGAGGTCGTTGTGAAGGTAACGCATCTGGACACCAGTTCAGAGATGTTTGCTAAAGGAAAAATCTGGCGGGCTTGGTATCGACGGATGGCGCTTGTCCTTCAGATACGACATGAACATCTGTTGACGTATCATCAAATCAGCATTGTCGAGTCGCAGAATAAAAAAGTTATTTTGCGGCTTTTGATGGATTTCTGTTCAGGTACGCCGGAGGTACGATACCTCAAAGAACTAAACTTTGCCCGATGGCAGTATTATGTACTCGTATTTGTGTTGGCAAAATTATTAAAAAAACGGCATGCGATTTGTGAAAGAGTTTCTTAGTTTTCGATTTTCGCGAGAATTGGCTGAAACAGCTCGCTTAACTGATCTTCTGAAATGGCCCAACCGGATATGATATGCGCAAACGGTTTGCACGGCAATCGTTGGCACTTATCGTCATTGCAAAATTATGGGATAATTTTGCAGACCCATCGGCGCAGATTCGTCAACAGCGCCTTCACGGCTCAGGTTGGCACCCGTGGCGTCGGTTCGGGAAACGGTAATAAATCCAAACGTCATTTAATTTCCACGAGATTATTGAGTTACGGTTACAAGGTGGGATTGGGGTAATCGGGCGCCCCTTCCTGAAAATAGTTTGCATCGAACGTCGAACGCAGGTTTGCATCGAACGCAGGTTTGCATCGAACTACATACATTAAAAATTTAGGCTGATACCGATGGGCGAAATGTTTTCGATGGGTAAGGCACAAATTATGTATGTAATGTAACACTTGTCTGGTGCCACAAATCCAGTACGATTTTCAACGGGTATGCAAATTATGCGGTTAACAACCACCAGTTACAGTGGACGCCATAAGTATGGAACTTACACTTGCGTAACCACAAAAAGCGCGCAACCAGGCACTTGTCTGTACTCAGTCATATTCCGGGCTGGCAATCGGCCTGCCGATACATATTACCATTCGCACCTTCCCCTTTTCCCAACGGAAGCCATCCACCAATATCTCAAACCAATGAGAAATAAATTACAAAAGTTTTGATACCAAACTAGGAGCTCTTTATGAGATCCAAGAGACAATCGAGGCACCTAAAGTTTCTTGTAGACAAAGCATAGGATTTATTACATTTTTCATTAGTTCCAGGTTACTCTTTGATACACTTGTGTTAGTTTTGCTCGCAGGCGGTGATCTGGCTATGCTATTGCAACGGATGCATGAGAAAAACCTGAAAATGGAGCACCAAACAGCTATCCGTTACACCATCGAACTGGCCGACGGCATCCAGTTTCTCCACCATAAAAAGATTATCCATTCCGATTTAAAACCAAAAAATATTTTGATCAAACAACTTAGTGATAATCAGGAGCGGCTGTTGATTGGAGACCTAGACGACTGCATTAAACTGCAGGGAGTTTCAACAGGCAATAAGGATGTTAGCCGGCTGCGCGGAACCCAGCGGTATATGTCGCCAGAGATGTTGAGCGAATTCGCAGCGATAAACGGACAATTTCCTGGACGGAAGACGGACATTTGGAGTTTGGGATGCATCATTCTGGAGCTGGCCAACTCCGTTATTGGCAATCAGAGGCAATGGCTGTATAACGCATCCACTGGTGAGAAAGTGCCAGCGGGAAGCAAAATAGGTGATGAAAAGTTTATCGTGCTCGTAATAAACGGCTTCACACCATTCATTGCCAAAGAAATTCCAGACGATTTGCAACTGTGTACTAAGCCATGCTTAAGTCGAAATCCGAAACTCAGGATATCGGCGAGCAGTTTAATAGAAACGCTGTGCAGCATTGAAAGCAAAGATCCAGCTTACCGGGTTCGTGCTGCACAGAATGGTTTTATCCAACTCCTGCAGAACTGCCAACTTTCGACCCAACTCAGTTCGGCCAAAGACCAGCAAGGCATGATTGCCTGCCTTGCTAACTATGTATTTGATGAAAATTTTATGGATAAGGAGCGGGCATCTAAAGATATATATGGACGCGGTCATCTTGTTTCTGTTCGGATAGATAAAACTGGGGAACTGATCGAGCCCAAACCATTTTATATGGATAATCAAGTTACTTTAGCAGCTTTCTGTAAGTAGTCTTCGAGGAATATCTTTTTGCATACACAGTCTAGTAACGCAAGTAGCTGTGCGAGTACAGTACCAAAAGTTCCACTATGAAGCGGTATTTTTGAAATGTAAGCTCAAGATGCGATACTGCCCTTATACCGAACAACGGCTTTAAAATTGCTTTAAAATTTTATAACAACCTTAAAAAGTTGTCTTTTTTTGCTCCAAAATACTTTTTCTAAATGTGTATTAAAATCACAGCTTTTAATTACGGAGCATTGGTATTCGTTTATTTGTTCTTCGACCGGAGCGTAGCGAAGGTACTCTGTATTCAAGACTAACGCGTTAGCGGGTTTCTGTCCGATACGAAAGCGCATTACGGAAGCAGGAATATTGCATCACGCAGTTGATCGCTTCAGCGTCACAGCAGCCAGTGTTTTTGACGTTAGTGATGATTGCCGTGACGTAGCCTGCATATTACGGCCATACTGCAACTCTTGATTTCTGTCAGTTACGAGAAATTGCGACAGATCATTACAGAAGCAACACTGTGACCTCACCACAATTAACTGCTTTACAGTAGAATCTGTGAGATTTAACATCCACCAGCATTGGAAACCCGTAAATTGAACATCCGGCAAGGAACCGACGCGTCTTGCAGATTGTAGACTCTGAATTTTACACATGGGGGTCGCCACGACTGTTAAACATTTGTGAAGCGACCATTTAACGCTTTACAGAGAACTCTGAACAATGATAATACTAGGAAAGTGGACTCGCTTTTTGCGGGCACTGCATGACCCAAGCGTAGCAGGATTATGTACAGAGTGTCTGACGCCCCTTTGTACTGCAGACAATCCTCTTCGATTATTCAATGCTCTCATTCCTGTTGGTAGAATTTTTAGTGCTTAATGACAAGTGAAATCTCGGCCTCTGGCCCTGCTATGCATTTACGAAAGATTTCGCAAATGCCTAAGTAAAGTCTCGATAAATGTTTCGAAACTGTTCGAAAATCCTAATTTTTTGAATTTTCTTCAGCTCTTGAGGAATAATTTATGCCGGTTCATGCACTGCTGTGGGAGGTCACCGCCACAATATGCACATATGATAAAAAACGATCACGAATGATAATAATGACTTCGGCTGTTTTTTTAACGTTTAAAATTTAATCGCTGTAATTAGTCTTAGTCTGCGCAAGCGTAATGCTATGTGTACTGGCTGCTGTCGAAAAAAAGGATTTTACATGCACCTATGGAAAGTAGTCAATGGCAGCGTTATCTACTGAATACGGCATGAAGTGTAGGATCTGGTAACGCTGGTGACGGGTTAATAAAAGGTCAAAGATTGGTCTAAAAAGCAGCATTCCCGTATAGGTCCATCATGTCAAAAAACTGGTGACACCAACAGCATTGCTGATCATTACGATTCTGATTAAGCAGTTTAGTAGAAGAAATTTCTTAATAATCGGACTGTTAAATAGTCTAAATTTTTTAGCGCAGGGGTTTGTTTGTGTTTGCTATTTTGGGGCATTGCAAAATGTCTGTGGGACATATTTGCCGGGAAATGCACGAATGCCGGCCTTTCCAGTTTTCTTCGGTTTCATAGTTTTTGTTAGGTTGCACAATGTCAGAAGATCGAAGTGGGTGTCATGGGAAACAGAGAAAAAGAGATCTCTGAGTTTTCGCGCTAACAGATGAGTGTCAGGTAGCCGTATTCTGGCACTGGACAGTGTTTGCAATACCCAGCTAGGATGTTGATTCAGAAATGTTTAGCGGAAACCGGTATATTGATACTGTCACTATCGACTGATCATTCCAGGAACAAAACCCATCGCCTGTGACAGGCAAAAACGCACCCCCTTACGTTTCTGCAGCGCTATTTTGCCGTTTTTACCAAAAGCGGTAATCCTTTTATCATATCGGTGAGATGACCACCGGCCAGTGAATACGGTCACCGTTCATGTGTGCATCCGGTAACAGACACCTCCTTGCATATGTGTATTTCGTGGCGGTGACCGACGCACAGACACCACATTTTTCATTACCTTCGAACATAAAAGACCTTCGCTACGCTTCGGTTGACAAATACAGACGTGCCATGCATACTTCTAAGATAGTAATAATAACTATCTAATTTTCACGTTGTCATAGTTGACGAAGCCGACACCCAAATCCACTCAAAAAATGCAGCCTGGCATGCTCGCATTCTGTTACAAAGAATTCCCTTAAAATCCCTTGTGGAGTCGGTGCAATTAGCATTCACCGATCCAAAGGACTTTCACACCATCGGCATTCCGCCGGACTGTGGCGACAGTGTAGACCAGATCAACACCAAGCTTTTCGAGGTGTCCGGTCGGACGTGCTATAGCGGTTGCTCCAACCTGAAACTCGCTCGGAAAGCGTACTGTTATGTTAAAATGTGGGTCCCTAAAAAATTGTTAATAAGAAAACAATTAAACCAGATGCGTGGGATTTGTAATCATCGTCTTGCAATGGGTGAAAAAACTACACGAGAAGACAACTATCCGCAGGAGGAGGACCTTGTGGAACACATGGTATTTCGGAAATCCTCCGAACAGCAAATTGTCTTGCGCTGTCCGCAGAGGGATGTCTTAGTTAATCGACAATTCTTGGTTCGTATTTCTACAAAATGCGATTTCATCTTTCATGCATGCTCCGACGTTTATGAAATGAAATTTAGTAGCGATGCGGTGTTATTTGTGCTCGATGCTGTGCAAGGTGATCACCTATGTTTGCACGATGTGGAGCAAGTGCCGTCATTTTTCTTATACGAAGTAATGGCCTTATCGACTATTTGGGATTGTAAAGAGTTAAAACTGGTGTCGCAGTTGGCATTTTTGGAAATGTTGTGCAGTCCCAAATGCGATCCTGACAGCATTCCCTTGGAAGATGCTTTGGAATGCATCTGGGATAACTTTGACATCAATGAACCGTACCTCGGCGGTAAAATTGTTATCGCCGGATTGCTTGTCATATTATCGAATATAAAGACCCACCTGCAGCTTGAACTAGTGATCGACAAATTATCGCAGCACCTAATTATTCAAGAAATTATCGACATAACGCCAACCAAGCGCTGTATAGAGGTTGTCGTTAAGGGACTGGATGGGAAATTATTCGTCGTTAAGACGCATCCATCTCACCGGGTGGCTTTTGTCAAAGCTCTGGTGGAAGATATGGCAAAGACGCCGCTTGATCAACAGCGACTGAAATTTGCCAGTAAGGTTCTAGAGGATTATAACACTCTGGCGGACTACAGGATTTCCCATATGAGCACTTTGAATCTGATTGCTGATCCCGTTGTTAACACTTCGTTGACTAGCAGTTTTGAGCAACGCGGCTGACTTTCTTGGTGGAAGTCACCAGAAGCATCCTATTGGTCATTAAGATCTTCTAACCAGTCAATCTTTCTGTTTTACTTTTGATGAGATGTTCTGCTTATCTGCTAATTGATCGCATGGCTCCGCAGCTATTGTCTTTGCTTAGTCTACGCTGACCCGGATTCAACCTTTTATTGCCCTAGCGGTATGCGCGCGCATCTGATTGTTAGCTGCTCTGGTCGTTTTCCATGTATGCCTATCAGTCGAACAGCGGCATCATTGGGCAGTCTTCCCAAACTTCCCAATGCGCCCGATTTTTTTGTAAGCCATCGGCAACACATACATCGCTCAAAATTTTACAGTAGCGTGCTAACAGTGTTCAGTACACGGCCTGAATTTTTCGACATCTTTCATTTGCGCAATCGAGCGCTGTAACAGCTTGAATGTGAGTGTCCCAAAAAGATGGTGACTTCCACCATTCCAGTTCTGGACTTCCGGCTGCCCTGGGTGTGTTGTAAAGAGTACCATTGGAAACTAGACGTTTTTTCACTCACACAGCCCAAAATTTGCTGTAAAATTATTTTTTTGAAATTAGTTAGTGAATAGTGATTTAATAAGGCCGATTGTGGTGTGAGTAACCATGCTAGTCAACGAAGTGCTTACACTAGTGAGCAGGACAGTGACTGATTCTGCCTGCCAGTTTCTTTGAGTTCGCACACTCGCTTTATAAAGCATATTTAGAAACACTGTCTTTGCTGATTTTCCAAATTGTGGTCACATTCCACAAGATTTGCAAAAGGAAACGGAGCGCCATCTGGCGCGATTTCTTGACGTGCCCGTACGCGGATATTCAAAGCTGCATACCTCCACTCGTGCTGTCGCCACCGGTTGGAAATGGGAGCTAAATTCGGACGGAAGCTTAAATTAGTGCTGGTTTATTTAGTAAAAGTACTTTGTAGTTAAACCATAAAGTTAAAGTTAAACCATACTTTGTAGGTTGTTTTGTCTCTTAGTAATCCAGCAAACAGTAAGTAAACCGCAAGCCAGAAAATAAATACACAGTAAATAAACGTAAGTAAGCATCTGCATAATGAGAACTGAACAGAAAGTATGATTTGCGATAAGTAAATAATTTTTTCACTAAAGTAATCATTTTACTATTGTCTGCAGCAAGTATATAGCGACAGGTTCAGCAAAATTCTGCTAAACATGATTTTTTCGTAATGAACCTGCTTTGCATTACAAGTTATCATCTAAATCGCTAAATTTTCACGATAACGCGGACTTTCAAACGTCTAATGCGCGAATTACAGTACACGATCACTAAACGTACGCAGAGTTTAATTAGTAAAACCGCTTCCGCGAAAATTGTTTGTATTGCGGCGAAAATATTCCACGTGCCTGAATTCGTCAAACAGGTTGACTTCTCTTGAAATAAAATTGGTTTAACAAAGTACAGATAAAAACTAAAAACTATAATTTGGAAAATTCACTCGCTTTTTTCGGGCACCGCATGACCGAAGCGTCGGCAGATTATATGAAATAAAATTTCGCTTATTGGCAATGCTGAAGCTAATATTTTATAAGGGTGATACCTTTTCATCCCCGTTTATTTTAAACACCCTTTTCACACCCCGTTTTGCTATAGGTACTCTTTCCTTTTCGGTTTTTTACTGCTCGCACCATTTTTCGGCGGACTGTAGACGCCCTTACATGACGCAAGTTCATTCGACGTAATATTTTTGTAAAAACTTGTTCGGCTAATTTGTTTACATACTGACAATAAAGGTCAGGAACAATATACTGCATAACAAACCTGTGCAGGTATGAAAACTTCACCCAGAGCTAGACCACACAGAGCGTGCGAGTTACGCTTCTGATGCACAAAACCGAGTTGAGTTATACCGCGAGTTACGCTACCATAAACAATACATTGAATTTTTACGAGAGTTACGTTTTTGGGGAAATAAGTTACGTTTAACTCGATAAATCGAAAAAACTCGCGATACGTTAAATAGTTGAAAACAACTGCACAGTGCTGCACAGTGCACAATTTATTCAGCTGTCAAAAGGATTGCAAGATCGTGTATCGCTAAATGTCGCGAATGATCAATAGCTGTCCTCAAGATCTTTCTTGGGTATATCCGGAATTATTCCATTGTATGACCTTCGGATTGACTTAGTTGAAAATAAGTTTTATAATATTGATTTTGATGGTGTAATTGGGTGCAGCTGTGGAAAGTACAGTTGATGACGACTAATCTGTCTGCATCAGTGCGATTTTTAGCAGCTAATTATTTTTTCCTGTTTTTTTCCTGGTGATGCGGTGGTACTGCCAAAAAATAAAGCTCATTTTCTTGCGATTCCTTACACATAAAAATGCTGTGTTCGTACTCAAAAGCAGGAAATTGTTAGCAAAATGTTTTACATTATTATTTTCTGAATTATTTCAACGAACCAAAGAAAGGATATATTATGATTGTTTTTTGATTGGATATATTATTGATTGGATTATGACTAGATATATTATGATGAATAGGATATATTATGATTGTTTTTAATGATAATTAATTTTTTCATTTAATTATCAGATGAAGTTTAATTAATTGGAATTAATTCTTTGTCTATTGTTATTACTCTCGCTTATGTTTTAAATCCGGAAACTTTCAACATCCCTAGTAGCACAAATTCTGTATAATTATATTATTAAACTTCTAGAAAACCAAAAACAGTTCATCAAGATTGCGACTGCACTCAACTGTACCACGAACACAGGCAGCATTGCCCCGTTGTATTTCTAAACTGCAACGCTGCATCAAAAACAGTTTCGCACGGCTTTCTCCAGTCTGCTCCCGAATACGTTTGGCCAGATCCGAGATAAACCCACTGGTGCTTGGTCCACAGCATCCCATAGTTTCGAAAGCAAAGGGCTGGACAATGTATCGATCCGTCAACTTCTCATATTTCCCTAGTTTTCGAATCTCAGCGGCTTCCGCGGCAGCGCCAGGGTGGTCAGAAGTTTGGCCGATATATGTTGCCGCTAGCGTGTCAGCTACAGTGACATCCCACACTAAAGATTTTCCATATTGCCAGGGATACAGAGTCATGCCATCTGGTCGCTTTCCAGTTTCCCTATCAAGTCCGGGAGGTTCCAAGATGGCGGATATTTTAGCAGATCCGCAAGCCCGTTGTATTATGTTGTTAAGCGCGCTGTGGCGCCGCATCCGTCCTGCACTTTTCTTACAGCAAAGGCCATGATGACCGTACCTGTCAACCATTTCGCCACAACGGCACTTGTGCTCATTACAAATAAAAGCACCTAAACGCAAAGCCACAGCTACTCGTAAACTGACATCATCTAGAAGGTTTCCCAAACTGGACACAGGCAGCGCCGACAACCATGCAGATGACTCTTTTGTAGACAGGGCCAACAAGCGAGCTTTAGCGATAACGTCGGCATTGTCCACTAAGAGACGGCGCATTTTGTCGTACATCAAACCGGTCCACGCTGACTGGAATCGACGGCTCTGCATGGGCGGTGGGTCTTCTCCAAGTTTCTCTTGATAAACCTTGACCACGTTTTCTCTAAGGCTTTGACCAGAGTCCGGAATAATCTCACTGACCAGAGAATCGGTAGCGTAACACGAAGACAGATATGCGGGCAACGCTACGTCCTCAGCCTTACAAAGACCGATTCCTCCAAGGCGATCAGATAAAACCGCTTGTCGCCACACAGTTTCGGACATTTCTACATTCGTGACTTCTTCCGCCTTTTTCCTCACGGTATCGTCAAACTGGCGCAGCTTATCCGGACACTTCCGACACGGGGCGCACCTAAGAGTAAACAACAATCTCGGCAGCGAAAGACTGTTCTTCAAAAGGAACAATGACTGATGCGCTGGCAACACACCGAGCAGATCAGTCAGACGTCGTATCTGACCGATCTTTCCATCTAACACTCGCCCGATTGCCAAATCAGTAAGTGGTGCACCAAGGAGATCCAACTGCTCCGACGAAACCAGCTGAATCTCAGGTGAAATAGAGTGGAAACTTTCAATGACTTCTTTCCGCTGTGATTCAGTGCCACCAAAAACGCGCAGCTCACATTTGGACAAGTTAAGCTGCAAGCCAAGTGTGCGTGCTTTATCCATTACAGTCATGAAATCTTCCAATACTGTATCCGGAACCCCGCCGCACGTGCCGTCATCCAAAAACCAGATTTTTAATGCTGACTGTAATTCTCTGGACAAATTAGCTGAGACCAAACAAAACAGTAACGGACCAAGAGGATCCCCTTGCTGGATACCATGAGCAGAGGCAATAATTTGGTCTCCACAAAACAATGACGAAGGAGCGCTGTATGCCGCGGAAATAAACGCATAATATTGAGGAAGAACTTCCGCCACTTTCTTCAACATCACATCTCTGCGGACCGTATTAAAAGCATTAGCAAAATCAAGTTTTAACATGACCTGTACTTCAGTACAGTCATCCTGTACAAATTTACGAGCATTGTCTATTGTTGTTATCTACATACTGTTTATTCATTTCATTGGTGGAGCTCAATTACATTTGGGTAACCGTTGCGCGACGGGTAACGGGAAAACGCGTAAAAAAGTATCCATGACTCAGCAAAAAAATTATCGCCCAATCGTAAGTCGAGTACGCTTCCGTGCCAAGAGAGAAATTGAACACCGAAGTGGAACTGAAAAACTCATTTTTAATGCTGTAATGTGCTAAGTGTGGTATTACGTCAAAAAAGTTAATTATGAGTTTTAGAGTGCAACCCTGGGTCGCCGGATTTAGTTTTGGTCCAAACACAAACAAATTTTGTTAATCTGTGCAGGAGAGTTAGGAATTACTCGTAGTTTGGGTAATGGTTGCGCTTCGACGTCGAAGCGCAACGCTTACGCGGACAAGTAAGCTGAAACCCATCCCAGATTTTGTGATTACGAATCAGAATGTTTGCTTGCTTACGCGCTGTTACGTCACATTTTTTACGCGTTTCCCCGTTACCCGTCGCGCAACGGTTACCCAGATGTAATTGACCTCCACCATTATAAATCAATTGTGAACCCGTTTAATTAATCGATTTTTAGGTACAACTGGTTAACATGTTTTGGTATTGAATAAATTAGAAATGTGGCTAAATATGTACATAAAAAATCGATTTAATGATAAGCTACTTATTTTGATTTGGATTTCAGTTAATCAAGATTTATTCCATATTATTAAACGATTAAATTAATCTTGAAAATGATATTGTGAACTAAACCAGCAGTTGAAATAGTTTTGACATTTTCCTTTGCGAATTCATGCGCTGCGTGGAAATTATCGATCAAACCACACTTCATTTAATCTAGTCCCAGAAAGATTCATTTTGAAGTCCATTGTTTTTGTGTATACAATATATCATAAATTTTGCATGGCATATACGCACATCGAAATTCGCATTTACTTGTTGTCTACGGTTAGTCGATATTTGATTTCCGCATATCCGGCACGCATCATCCGCCCAGCGCTGGGTAAACACCAATTACAGTAAAATCTGTGTACATTGAACACCTGCGGTTTCTTCAAAAGCGTTCAAAGTAGACGAGTGTTCAATATTCGCAGTAGCTGCCCCTGGGGGCACCAACTTGGGGGGCTCCCCAGGGGCAGCAAGATGGACCCCCCGAAGCAACTATCGGGGTCCGTCCTATTGTGCCTAGTCTTTGCAAGGGTTAGGCTTACTGCAAATTAATCTCAAAGCAATCGCGCCCAACTATTGACACTTTTAACGCCATCTTAGTACGAAAACACTGTAGATCAACGAAACAAAATCAGCTGTATTACAGCCTGAATGTATAGATAACACACTGCATGTTGTGTGAAAACAAGTGGACAATGTGCATCTAAAACGGTATTGTTCAAAATCATTCTCTCTCTGCCGTCTTTCTCACATCCCGGAGCCGGATTTTATGCCTTTGTTCACAATGCACAGAGTAATTTCATTAGTACGGTTCCGAGTGAAGCGTTCAATGTTCACTTTACACAGATGTTCAATATTCGCGGTGGCCCCCCTATGTTATATTCTACGAGACGCGCCGGTTCTTAGGCGGGCGTTCAATGTAAAGCCGTGTTCAATGTTCGCAGATGTTCAATCTCACAGACTTTACTGTACCTTAATAAATCTCGGATACCCCGGAAAATACTGCAAAAGGTGACGTTGCTAAAGCATTGCCGGTGCTGCATTTTCCGCCCCTTTTCCTTAATCCATATTTCATTGACCGTCTCATTACATATGCGGATGTGCGCATCTCCGAGTATGATTCTTGAGTGGCGATACAGTACCATCGCGATGCTTTCGGCTCCCAGAAAGAAACCGATGTGATAACTCAGCGAATAAACGACGTTGTGCTGCATGCCTTACCGTGTAGCGGCGTACGTGTAATGATACACGCCGTAATAATTATACTTTACGGTGGTTTCTTTTTTGGATACGTACATACAGTCGTAATACAGATATATATTTTTCTAAATAATTATTTAATAATATAATTATGGAAATTAGATTAAAAAACTATCTGAAATTTTTTAACGGAAATTTTTGCCTGTTTTCGAAATATGGCATCACGCGACGGCGCATATTTATAAAAACATTGTAAAACTACAAAAATGGTTTAATTAAACGCATATGGCGCAAACAAGTGCTTCTTTGCTCGAATCCCGTGCTATCATTTATGCGCATTTGATGTGTTTCTGTTGCAAATTGTTGTCACTATCAGATTTTTTAACCCCAGACTATTGGCCAGTTTTAATTGTACGCTCTACATGCAACACTCGTTACAATGATGATTATGGAAAGTTCTGGAAAAACGGGACATTCTCCAACACCTCCCTGTTCCATAACATCACCAGCCGCTCATCCCGGGCGGAATGGCGAACCCTATGTATCATGTACGTTGTGCGGCCGCTTTCCCGGTATGGTACCGCAAGTATCACAATGCCCGCCGGGCGGTGGGGTTCTCTGTGGGGGCGTGGCTGGCCGGGCACGTGCTGCTGGTCCCCGGGGAGGCGCTGGATGCGCTGTGGTACCGCCTGCCATTGGACGAGTCCGGTGGCGATATCAATGTGACCACGGTGATGTCACAGAAGGTGTGGATCAACGCTGTGCAGTATGTGGAGTTAGGGGTGTTGGTGGTGGTGGCCGGGGTGTATCCGTATATTGTTGATAAGCACCAGGCGCACCGGCGGATCTTCGCGCAGATGCACTCGTCCGTGAGAGGGCACGGGATGCGGAGAACGGCCAATACGGTGACGGTGGTGGCGGATGAACGGTTTGATTCCAATTTTCGACACGGTAAACCAGCATCCGCGTATACAAGCGACTATGTTTCAAGAGTAAAAATGCCGGGTGCACCGTATTTACTGGTAGTTTCGCATTTATTTACCGAAGCTTTCATTTTCGCCCATTCCGAAGCATTTTTTCCGCACCGTTTTAAGTCCTTCCACAGTCAGATAATTTTGTAAGACGATAAGAAATTAAATTTGAGAAGGCAGAGAAATACAGTAAATCAGGTTTTGGTTCAAATTCGTTTTCACAGCGCTCCGTCTTTTACAGCGGATCTTCACAAAGATCGGATAATAACTTGACCTTTTGCCCGGCTTACGCGTTTTGCCCATCCTAATTCGCCATCGTTCAGCAACTGAACGTTGCGTAAAAAAACGGTTTTTAGGTCGGCATACTCTATACAGAACATTAGACTGTAGAATGGGTATCATCCCATTTCGGCAACGGGACATTTCGGCAACCGGGCACGTCGCTCCGGTTTAGTCAAATACAGTACTTTTTTGATATAAGGATTCGTAGAGGAATGCCTCTCAAAACTAATATGTGAATATAGGGGGACAAACATGTCTACTCGGCCCAGTTCCCTGTACTGCTGCCGTCACCCGCCTGGAGTGTGACGTTACGGCAATACATACGGTTAAATCAGGCGCGGTACATAAGCGCCATGTATAGCCACAACGTAATACACCAGCCGGCTGACATCAGATGTACAAGGGACTGGTTCGGCTTGACTCATTTTTCCCCATATATTACGCACATTGTACTGCGTTCTGCGTAATTAAGTACATACATGTACTGATGTACGAGTCTTAGTTACTGGTAATTTGTAAAATATAATCACACAAGATGCAACACACAGCTGTATTTACTCATATACTATTATATGCACACGGCTCAACGCTAAAATGACGTATAGACTGTACATCGTATAATGTGATTCGAAACTGAGCGGCACGTAAACAATCACTGATGTAAATGAGTTCGATTCGAAATCATTACTGCAGTGATATTACGAGCAAGGCTGCTTAGTGCTTTCCAGCGTTTAAGGCCAAGGCTAGTTCGGCTTAATTCAGATCAAGAAGGCCGGTTTTATAAGTTTTTAAAATCGTATCTCTTTCTCGATACATCTGTCTGTCCAGTTTAAATCGACAAAAATTCACAACTTTAGACTGATAAGATCGGTTTACAACACACAGTTTAAAGTTTCAATCGAAAAAATCACGCTTAAAAATTAACTAGTCTGCAGGGAACCATACAAAATTTTAGATAAACCACCCAGAAAATCGTAAACGCAGTTCTCCTGCACCTTGAGAGGGCTTTTTTTGATAAAAAAATTTTAAACTTCGAAAACTGGAAGAAACACTTTTAGTGTTTCGATTTTCGTATATAACTTGAGTAAAAACGATTTTTTTCAAAATCGCTCTCGCAAGTATACTTTCATGGGTTTTCTTAATCCAATGCATCAAGTTTGAAAATTTTGTTATATGCCCTGAATTAGGAGTTAGTTTTCAAACCTCATTTGGCGCATTTCGAACGGTAGCTTTCGAAAGTTCAGGCAAGTTTACATCAGTCAAAGGCACGTTGACTGTTTCAGTCCACCACACAAACCAAACCATAGTCACTGTCCAGACAGCCGATTGTTCCCTTCCTACCACACGTCGGTGTGATCAAAATCTATTGTCTTCGGTGTTTGCTTTCATTCCACTGACCAGTGCTCGGTTTTATGGCGGTCACTAAAACAAAAGATGTGGATCACAATTCTGCGTTCTCCATTGATTTCATCGCAGGTGCGCTAACTTGCATAAGCGTTTGTAATGGTGAGCCGGGCCAGTCACTACTTGCACCATCATTTAGTTTAGGCAGCTAACTTGAAAAATTCATATTTCATAACCCTGCAGTTTTATAACTTTGATAATGTTGCCATCTAATAGAGCAGTCTTCATTCTATATAGCCGCTTCTTTTTGCAAAACGGCACCTTATGATTAAAGCCGAACTAGCCATGGCCTTAAGTAAATCGAACTCTCAGTGCCGCTTCTTATATGCGGAAATAAAAAACCGTTGGAACGGTTGAATAATATGATTAATGTCGTATTATTAACCACAATTTTCCAACTTTCCTTCAACGTATCTGAATAGCAGGGCACAGATAATTAACTGCCTAGTTAATTATGGCGGAAATATCGTTTTCTTTCACTAATCGCAAAGGCAAGGTGTTAAATTACAACGGTTTACATTATAGTATACAGTATATCGAATTCTGGAAGCGCGCAGAAGACAGAACGGAAAACTGTCAGAATTGGCGTTGTCGAGAAAGGGAACTCTTCAAGGCTCGTTTATATTATGCTGATGGCAAAGCTGTTGAGCGGGGCCAACATTCTCATGCCCCGGATGTCATTAAGGTTATGGCGAAATCAGCCAGGCAGGCATTAAAGGTTCGTGCAGCCAATACAGTGGAACGACCACGTCAGATCATAGATGAAGTTCGCGCGGAGATGCCAGTGTATGCTGCAGTAAAGATGTCCTCTTACAATGCTCTTGCCAAAACCATTGGACGCCAAAGAAAAGCGGAAGGTATCCCTACAGGTCGTGTAATTTGCTTGGCTGATATCGATGGCAGTTATTTTCTGAAGAGAACATCGCGCAATGAATCTGTGCTAATTGCCGATACTGGTGCAGAAGACATTCATCGGATTATTGTGTTCGGAGATCCAAAATGCTTTGTTTATCTGGACAGAACCAATATTTGGCTCGGTGATGGCACCTTTAGCGTCAGCCCGCCTGTTTTTACGCAGTTGTACACGGTGCATGGGGATGTTTGTGGTGCAACGGCTCCGCTTATTTATGCGCTACTGCCAAATAAATGTGAACTCATTTATCGACGCTTTTTCACAATACTCCGAGAAGCGCTGGTGCAGAAAAGTGGATCTGAAGAAGTCGGACCCGAATACATGTTGATGGACTTCGAGCAGTCAGCAATCATCGCGTTCCGAAATGCTTTTACGACGTCAAAATTAAGAGGTGAATTTTAATCAGTATTTTTATTAATCCAATAAACTGTGTCATTTTTACGAGGTAAAATTAAATATTAAAATATATGGATTTTATTGTTTACTACAGCTATTATTAATACTGCTGATTATTATTTCTGCTTCTATGATTAGTAATTATTTATCAGCAACTGACATTAATTAGTGCTATTTGAGTCAAGTATTTATTTCACGATTTTCAAAGGTTAAACGACGGTATTACTGCTGTTTTGGAAAGCAGAAATGTTGTTAATAATTATTGATCATTAATAATTATTAATACTTTTTATTGGTTATTACGAGTATTATTAGCGTAATTATACGTATTCATTATTAATATTTATTATGCTATAGAAATTCTTTGTTGTGTTTAAAATATAATTTCTGGGTTTCTATAATAAAATCAAAAAATATTTCTAAAAACAATATTAAAATATAATTAAATTCAGAAAATCTGTAAACTTTCTTAAAATGTTTGCAGTAATTTATTCATAGGTTGCAACTTTCACTTCGGACAAAGCCTATATCGCAAACGTCTTGCCCTGGGACACGGACCCATTTATGCGACCAATGCTGAGTTCAACATTTCCTGTCGCATGCTTTTTGCACTCGCGTTCGTGCCGGTACAGGATTTAGAACGAGCCCTTGTTGAACTGCTGGACGCGCCGTTTTTTCCCTTCAAACACAACGATCTGTTCATCGGGTACTTGAAAACAACATACGTTGGTGAAACAACAACTATGTTTCGAGTAACCGGATGTCGCATTAAACGGCCCCTATATCCTGTTGAATTTGGAGCTGTGTGGATAGACTTGAACAGGATATTCACCGTACGACCAATCGCTTAGAAGCGTGGCATCGCACGTTTTCGGATGTCATTAACAAAGACCATCCCGGTATCTATCAGTTTTTTAACCTACTGTGTCGGGAAATTGTTCACCAGCAAACACAGGCCGCTGCACGCATGGCAGGTGAAATACCTAAACAGAGGAAGCAATACCTCGAGGTCACCAAGCGGCTTAAAAACGTCGCGTCCAGCTACGGGCAAATGGATACTATCAGCTATCAGAGATCGGTTGCCATTAATCTGGAAATCATGTTGTAAAGTTCTCATGGACAGACCGCAGCGCAGCAGCTTGTCGTATAATTCGGACTTTACAAGTTAGCTTCACTCTCACAATCGCTTATTTACTAATATTAATATTATTAATTATAAGTCGTATTTGTACGATATTTATTAGAAGTAATCGCCTTTCAATACGTTTCTGCTGATTATTTAACCGGGCATGGCAGGTTGTCAGTAAAGGCATGAATGGGATGTTATTTGTTAGTTTGTCTGTTCTTCTTGTAATATCACACAGAATGCGATGCTGTACGTAATTATTTACTGATCAATAAAATAAAAATGCGTGTAAAATGTACTGCTATGGCCAGCGAAGTGTGAATCCTGATTTAACCTGCAGGCTAAAATAAATTTGATGTCCTGTACATCAGTACATATCATGTAAGGTCAGCCAGGCAACTGTAAAAACGAAATGTCTGGTTGGCGAATTGTCTGGTTTCCGAAATGTCCCGTTGGCGAAATGGGTGGTTGGCGAATTGTCTGGTTGCCGAAATGTCCCGTTGGCGAAATGGGTGGTAGCCAAAATTTGAGCAAAACAAACTTTTCAAGCACTACCTTTGGAAGCTGTTGTAAGAACTTTAGATATACTGTAGCGGCAATCTCCCACTTCACAAAAAAATCATGTCACATTATTTTCCCAACATGTTTGAGATTGGATGCATTATGGAACGTACTTACTTACAAACAACATGCAGTTCATTGTGTAATTAAGCACGCGAGCCAAGCGAGCTTTTCTTTTATCAAGGGGACGAGCGAAGCCCGCGTTTCCTCTTATAGGCTTATACCAGCAATAGGAAAAGAATCTGATAAATTATTACACCATCAGTTTTGATTATGATTTTGAAACTAAAACAATGCTCGAGAATTGTGCCGTGAATTCAAAAATTAATTTTTAGTGCAAAAATTAGAAAAGAAATAAGCAAGTAGACACAGGGTTTAAGAATGAAAAAATGATATTGAAATCAGATTTAGATTCAAAAACTAGTTGGAAATTATTTAAAAGTAATTTTCAAGTATTTTAAAAGACTTTTAAAATAACTTAAAAATTCATTATGCAAAATGATTAAAAATAAAAATCTGGGAAAAATTTAACAATGAGAGAAATAATTTGATATTCATTTCACAACTTAGCAGGTATCTTTTAAGTGAACTAAATGAAAAGAAAAACAAATAAGTTGAAATAACTCGAAATTTTCAAATTTTATGCGCTTAAGCTCTATTAAATTTTGCATTCCTAATTTTTTACCCACTAAGGAGGTTGTATTTCTAGGAAATAAGTATTTCCACACTGGGCTTCGGATAGAAGTAGAAGTCATAGAACTATATAAAATATGTTAACTTAAGTATACGAAATATAAAAAAAACTTCTAATTTGTCATTTGGGTTTCGCTTATAGAGCAAGCTGTTAAGAGATTTATTTTGTTAGGATGCACTCGGTAGTAATTAGATTGTTAATTTGTTATTAATTTGATACCAAGCCTACCAGTTGCTTCGAAAATAGGCCATTCGAGACAATTATATCTGCAGATTCACATATTTGGCCATTTAAATTTAATATCGGATATTTGCCTCTCTACGTAGGTATTTCGTTTTTTGCAGATTTAGTTATTTGGCTGTTTAATTTTTTTTCCTTAGGTTTATAACTGATTTAACCGGTTTATTTAATTAAAATTTCGCCTGTTACTTGTTTGGTTTTTAAGAATTTGGGTCTTTGGATAGTAGGGAGTTACAATCCTAACTTATTGGCAGATTCTTAAAACTTGAGAACCGGAAGCTCTTAAGTTATGAGCCAACCCCTCTGTACCCATTGGCGTACAAATTTAAGAGCGAGCGATTTAAGAGCCGGATGTTCTGAAATTATAAGCTACTCGATCATGTCCTTTTTAAGTTTAAGAACGAGGAAAATGCGGAGCAAATCGGTAGACTTTCCTTTTTATTATCATTAATTATATATTATAAGCTAACCGAAGCAATACTTCTGGCCGCACAAACCATTTAATATTTACCTTTTGAGTTGAATGCACCGTGTTGTCATAAAATGGAAACAAAAAAACGGTTTGGAAGATGTCCCAAAGCCATCAAAGAAAAAGAAACTTAAAGCAGTTTCAAAAAGCTTATAAAGGCAGCTTTTAAACGACACTGAATCTTTGTGTAGCTAAATATGCAATTTCAGGAGTAGCGTTCAGGTGGCCTCAAACATATGGACGCCCTCATTTATTCAGAGCTATCTGATTGGCCAGATGAATAATAAGAAGAACTGGCGCTTAAATTTTGAGAATCGCCAATAAGTTAAGATTGTAGCTCCTTAGTGAAGTGCACAGATGTGTGAGCGGAGAAGTGGCTCACGTAAAGCGACAAAATCTTTCAAAGGATTCCAGCGTATTGCGCCGTGGTGCAGTGGTACTGCCTACGCGGATCTAACGACGTAGCCGACGTTCGATTCCCCCATCGGCGCCTTTTTCAGCCGTTTCTCGGTTTCCCTCGGATTGCGCCCTGCTTAGATGGTAGCAGATCGTGGTTCGGTACGTCCACTTCACCTATGAGACTGGTGTGCTAACCTCAAACGGGAGGAACAGAGCAAAAAAGAATAAACCGATAAAATGAATAGAGGATGCGGTGAGCCGGAGCCGCCGCTTAAAGGATCGCTTAGTCTCGCTACGAGGACGTAGCGAAAGCTGCAAAGGGGGTGTGAGCGGAGAAGCGGCTCACGTACAGCGACAAAATCTTTCAAATGATTTCAACGTATTGCGCCGTGGTGCAGTGATACTGCCTACGCGGATCTAACGACGTAGCCGGGGTTCGATTCCCCCATCGGCGCCTTTTTCAGCCGTTTCTCGGTTTCCCTCGGACTGCGCCCTGCTTAGATGGTAGCAGAGCGTGGTTCGGTACGTCCACTTCGCCTATGAGATTAGTGTGCTAACCTCGAACGGGAGGAACAGAGCAAAAACGAATAAAAAAGATAAAATGAATAGAGGATGCGGTGAGCCGGAGCCGCCGCTAAAAGGCTCGCTTAGTCTCGCTACGAGGACGTAGCGAAAGCTGCAAAGGAGGTGTGAGCGGAAAAGCGGCTCACGTAAAGCGACAAAATCTTTCAAAGGATTTCAACGTATTGCGCCGTGGTGCAGTGGTACTGCCTACGCGGATCTAACGACGTAGCCGGGGTTCGTTTCCCCCATCGGCGCCTTTTTCAGCCGTTTCTCGGTTTCCCTCGGATTGCGCCCTGCTTAGAGATGCTTACGCTTACATATTGTGTGCATTAAATGTGCTCAAATTTGGTAACTAGAATGCTGCATACTCAGCTAATTTAAGGTTCTTAAGTTTATTTAATAAGAAGTCTGCAGAGGCATCTAAAATGTTTATATATTTAGAAATAATAAAGAATATTTAGAAATATTTAGAAATGCTTAGAAAAATAATTTTAGAAATATTTAGAAATTCGACTTGGGGTTCAGATTCTGGTTGGCGCTTACGGTTGGACTCGGGTTTCCAAATATTTTAAAGTTCATAAGCGTAAGCGCAAACACAGATGTGAGGTTGAGATACCCGAGTTTGCGACCTCGATACCCAATTTCGAGGTTCCCGAGTGCCCTGGTTCGACTCAGTTCACTAAACTGTGCATATACGGTACTTTTCGTGGTGACGACCTTGGGGACCAGGGTCTGAGGTCCCCAAGGACCTCAGTTAAACTCAGCGCGTCAAACAGTGCATTAACAGTATGTATCGTGGTATCGACCTCGGGAACCCGGGTTCAAGGTCCCAGAGTCCTTTAGTTCGACTGAGCATGTTGAGTTGTATATAACGAAAATCATTGGCGGCCCGCAGGTCACTCGGCGACCGTAGGGTCACGGGTACTCCCCGAGCATCGAACCCTCAACATGTCTTGAATTAGAAACGCGGGCACGCTTCGCTCGTCCGCTTAATAAAAAAAAAGCTCTCTTCGCTCGCGTGCTTGATTACAAAATAAACTAAATGGAGTTGCAGGTATTAGTAAGTAAGTACTTATGTTTTAGTTCCAAAATCATTTTCAAAACTGATGGTGTAATAATTTATCAGATTCTTTTCCTATTGCTGGTATAAGCCTATAAGAGGAAACGCGGGCTTCGCTCGTCCCCTTGATAAAAAAAAGCTCGCTTGGCTCGTGTGCTTAATTACACAATGAACTGCATGGGGTTTGTAAGTAAGTACGTTCCATAATGCATCCAATCTCAAACATGCTGGGAAAATAATGTGACATGATTTTTTTGTGAAGTGGGAGATTGCCGCTACAGTATATCTAAAGTTCTTACAACAGCTTCCAAAGGTAGTGCTTGAAAAGTTTGTTTTGCTCAAATTTTGCTCGCTCTGAACTTCTTCAAATTTTATGATCGCCCAAATTCCCTTCCTTTCCTGACCATAGAAATTCCCTCCCTCTTTTTGACCAGTCAAAATCCCTTCCTTTAGTTTTCCCTTCCTATTTTCGACCAGTCAAAATCCCTCCCTTTGGTTTTCCCTCCCTCTTTTTGACCAAAGAAAATCCCTCCCTTTAATTTTCCTTCCCTCTTTTTGACCCTGGCCGTGTTTAAAACACATTTATACGGCTTTTATTTCTTCGTGGCTGGTTCATCATTTTAAGGTTTTCTTTCCAGAAAATGAGCACGCTAGGCAACAGCAGCAGCCGCATCACTTGAGCGTACCGTTTCCAGTACAAAAAGGTCGCTGCGACACTAGTGAGAAACCACGGCGGCACGGTACCAGCCTTGTGCTACTGACTATTCTCACCAGCAGCATCCTGGTATTCTGGACGCCAATGACAGTATACTATGCTCTAGTTCCCTTTACCAACATTTACAATCAGACAACGGCGGAAGCAGTGACGTTTCTCTTCGGGGTCCAAACCGTCACCGATCCTATACTGTTCGCTCTGGCGCTAAAAGATATCCGACAGTCTCTCAAGAAATTTCTGTGTCGATAAATGATCAATCCGGTATTATGTACAGAATTTTTAATGAAACCGAAAATTTTTAAATAAAATTTTTAATGAAACCTCTGTATTTGATTGAAACCGAACGCGAATAACGACTTGCTGCACGTACTGTACAGATACACGTACTCGGTACATGCATTATTACATTAGCGAATTTTAGATTTCACAAAACAAGTTCCGTCCAGTTCGACTTGCGGGTAGAAGTTGGCGTTACGGGTCGATTTACGTCCGTTCGCGACGTAAGGCGCCGTAACCTAACGTCGTTAGCTGACGCG